TGAATTTGACGAAAATAATGTTTTCAGCCGTCAAAATTGGTCCGATAAGACGGGTTTTATAAAAATAATGAAGAAAATTACTATAAAAAATTATTATAAATTATAATTTTCTCCGCTGAGCAAGAGACAGTCAAAGCCTCTCGTGACTTTATAGAGGCGTGCCTCCATTTTAACCTCAAGGACGAAGCCTAAGAGCATAAATCTTAAGCCTGAACTTTAAAATTATAGCAGTGCTCTCTAATGGACCTGTCTCAGATAAACTATTGGAAAAAGAACTATTTTATTGGTCTTTTCCTCCCGATCAAGCTTGCAGATTTCAATGGAATTCAAATATTTATTTTAATGCTCTCTTCCAATCCGTTAGGGAACGTTCTCCAAGTGGATAAGAGACAATTCTTTTGAGACTTGGTTTTAAATAAAGAGAAATAAATGCGTCATTGTTTTACGTATGAACTCAAGAGACAAAATTCCGACTGGAAAGATATAACACCTGAAAATTTTCCAACTAGAATGAGTAATATTCTTGTTAAATGTCATTCTCTTTTGTATGCAGAAAAATACAGCCTGGCTCGTATGGATTTGTAGAAATATCGGAATAATAACTTGATCAATGCGGCTCGGGTTGAAACTGAAAATATTTTAATTTTCATCAGGGTCATTTATGCACCGAAAATAGCAGACATTATCATCACTCACCTGGTTGTCACCCTGGACCAGCAGCGGGGTGGGCACGTAGAGCGTTCGCTGGGGGCCAACGGACCAGTAGCGCCCGACGTTGAAGCCGTTGACGAAGACGACGCCCTTGTTCCACTGGCGCATGTCCAGGAACGTGTCCAGCGGGGGAGCTGAGAGCGTCACTGTGGTGCGGTACATCGCTGGCCCGTTGGCTGACGTTGTGAATGGCTCCCATCCCGTCAAGCTGAGGGAAACACAAGTGAGAGTAAAGTTATTTCAAATATACACTGATGCTCAAATAATGTTTGCCCCGAGAGTTCATGCTCATTCTTCCTCTTCGACTATCGTCGTAGTCGGTGCGCACGTGCATCGTCGGGTCTCGCTACAGCCAGCTGGGCAAAGAAAAAGAACAAACGATTTTAAAATTAAAAACTTTTAAAATCAGGAAAAACGTGTCAACAGAACAATATAAGAAGGCTTTTTCGTGAAAAATTTCTTTCCAGATATTGAAATTTACAAAAAATTAAAATAATAATTGCAGTTTTCAGATTTAGACCAGTCCAAACACATTAAATATCATATCCAGTCTAACTCTCCTCTGCAATGCTTGTAGGAGGTAACAGAATAGGAACTTGACGCCAAATTTCAAGCAAACTATTTACTCAGAAGTCTACGGGAACTTTTACGTCAACTCAACTCACGTTTCTTTTATAAATAAACGCCGCTATATGTCGCTAATTCACTGCCAAATGACGTTAGTCTGCAACTTTCTTAAATTAGAATTATCAAATTTTCTGGCTCTGCAATTATTTTGCGTTTTTTAGCTGCACATTCATCAATTTGATTCTAAAGTCAACCGTTTCAGGAGCCTGTGCTTTTCATGGAACAGATTATGCGTTGACTCCGGAGTTGCAGCTTTGCAATTTTTTGTGCGTAGTTTTATTATTTGTCAAATCTAAGGTAAACAAGCAAGTTTAAATGAACTTAATGACGTTTCGACAAGCTGAATAAACCCAATGCCGCATTATCCCTTCAGACAAATGACTTCGACGCAATGTTGATTTCAACGTTAATTAGGCGTCAGATGCCTGGGATGTGGACTCGATAAATGAATTAAAACTTAGCGTTAACATCGTGGATCATAAGCATTAAATCTTTACACCTCTGGCATGTATCTGAGGACTTGAATATTAAACGTTATCAGATTGAGTCAGTATTTAAACCTCACGCTAAGATGCTCCTGAATAAAATCGACTCAATGACACCCACAAACAACAACAAAACGCTTTATTTGAGCGCCGGGTTTGGCTGAACGCTGATCGAATGTTCAATTAAGCGTATATTATGTAGACATATTTTTCATGTCGGTAGTGTCTCAGCCTAAAGTCGCATTAATCGTCATCGATCGGTAACATTTAAAGAGCGACGCCATTGTTGTTGCTATTGCGGTGCCCCCCGAGCTTTCTTTAGCAATTTATTTCCGTTAATGAGCTCTCGTTCTCATTTGCATGAAGTTGAAAGTTAATGATCTGCTGCTGCGCCTCGGCCAAGACTAAACCCTTTGAAACTGCAGACTTCACATAATCATTTAATTAATGAAAGTTAATTAGGCACAACAGGCATTGATTACAATAGAGCATGCAGCATCAAGCCTTTGATTCAACGATTCTTTCCTGTGCTTTTTCTAATAAAAATAGTCTGACGCTTCAATAAGTAATTACTATTATTACATGAATAATAAATAGTTCTCGTCGATCATGACCACCTTAAAGTTTATGTAATATCTAATACAAAGAGTTATATTCTCGAGAATTACACCCATATGATTGACGTATGAAACTAATATGGCATCACGTAGAAATTCGGAACTCAAAACTGCACCATATTTATGATCTTGAAATTTTCGTTTTTATCTAATGTTTCTATGAACCTTCTAGCACGATAATTTAACTAGCCTGGGCATGCCACCAAATTCCCACTCCGAGCAAATGTAGGGCCCCGGCCTGAAGAGAACGAAGAGATCTTCCTCCTGCGCCATCTGCACGAAGTTCCTCAAGCCCAGAAACGGGGACATGTCCTCCCCCAACTCCCCGAAGTCGTACTCGCCTTGCCGGGGGTCGTGGAGGTTCCAAGGTACGTAACTAAATCATAACATATTTGTATTATATTTGAATTATATTATATGTAACTACAACCAACAAGTCTGACTCATACATACATCCTTGACAAGGATTTAAAAGCAAAGAAAAAAGCCAGAAAATTTGCCTTTTCTTTATATTAGAAAATGTTGCTAGCGCCATCGTCGGTTCAAAACCATGTAAGACCTGCAGAATAAATTAGAAAACTTAAATTTACATTGATGATAAAAAGTTAAATTGATAAAAGAAAAAAAACAAACAAACTTGAGGTAACAGGACTATCAGGCCTGTGTTTTCCTTCCTCAATTTAGGTTTTTATCTGCAATGTGAATTTTTTTTCTAATTGTTTCGCCTTATCTTATATGATTTTGAACTGACGATGGAGGTGGACTCCTTAAAGTTTTCTCATATAAAGTAATAGTACATTTTCTGGCTATTTTCTTTACTTTTATATTCTTAGGGAATTTGCGATTTAAGAAGTCAAATGACCTTACTACGTACATCTTTAATGTTTCAAGTTTTGAATAAGTTATTTGTTCATGATTATAACCTAAAAGACTTTGCATTTTTATATTGTCATTATTTACCGATGAAGCAAGATTCTAGGGCTTTTCGTTTTTTTCTTCGGATAATGTTATTCTTATTATTTTTCTTCCAGTGTGAAAAGTTACATTAATCTCCGTAGACTTCCGTATTTTCCGTATAAAAATTACTTTCTATTCTAATTGACAGCTACTGCCTGACAGTATTACCTGTCAGGCAGTAGCCTGTTGTGTTATACCTTTCATATTTAACACAACAATGTTGATATCTAAAATACAAATGAGCATCACTTCGCGAAATAGAAGAACTTTTTAAAGAGCATAGTAACCTATGTTAAGTATATCGTAAAAATACCATCAATCCGTGAATGTAGCATATATAGGCCTCTGTTAAAACCATCGTGAAAGTTCAAAATTTAACATGTACACCCACGTTTGTACCGCATTGAGTCCTGCCGCCCTCATCTTCTTGAAAGTGTCCCTCCAGTAATCAGGATGAACTCTGAAGTAATGGAAAGATCCCGAAAAGATCGTCAAGTTTTTGCCGTTCAGGGTGAAAGTTTCCCCCTCGGCCACCAGACCCGTGGATGGAACGCCATCAGGGACGTAATATTCGTACAAAGTAACGGATAAAATACTTAGAACCTGTTGATGGCGGAAGGAAACTCACATGATTATAATTGTAAGCAAGATATGCTGAACTAATGCAAGAATTTTGCAGTTGTGTGAATCAGAAAGTGAGAGTTAAATTTTGAACACCGACGCTTGAAAAAGTAAATTGCTCAATTACATCAACGTAATTCTATCCATAACAGGTCTTTGCTGAAATTGTGCATTGGTGATTTTTTGGACATTTTTCCAGCGCGCGTACACGTAAATTCTGGTAAACCATTCCCAAATATTTCAGTTATGACTATTCAGATTTCTGTAATGTTTCGCGTACTAAAATAATAGGACGCCATTATAAAAACCGGACAGAATATAAGTAAACGCGGCCGCTGTTAATTATCAATGGCATTGTAAAAATATAATAAAGTGATTTCTCAAATATTTTAAAACAAATTTACCGTGCACCACAGCACGATGAAGAAGAGCAGAGGCGTTTTTGTCATTGTTGAGTAAGGCATGAAAAGCTTCTTAATTTCTGTGGTCAGTTCACCGTTGCTTTCGAGCCAGGGAAAGACGCATGTTAATAGAAAAATTATCGGTGAGTTGCGCCAGTTGATAATAGCGGACGCTTTATTTTCAACAGATAAGAACTCACAAAGTGCAAGTCATGAGTGATTTAATTTTCAGTTATGGCACCTTCACCCATTGACAAGGTGAAAAATATAAATATAAATAAGTACCGCACACGCATCAAATACACATCGCATACAGTGTTGAAAAAAACCACGCTCCATACTAGCAGCTATAGTTGACGTGTATCTTATCAAATATCCATGTTCAAAGTTTGTGTTCATGTATTGAACAAGCATTGTCAGTTTCCTTACATAAGTTTTCTACGTAGAGCTGGCGCTTTAATTTTTTTCCTGTCCAATTGCGTCGAATCTAAGATGATATACAGTACTCTCTATACTCTCTAAGGGAAAATTCGTGTGTAATTCACATCGAGCTTCTCATGATAGGGTAAGAAACATAACAGTGTGCTTCACATTAATGTACTGAGGAGCCTTAGCTCAATATCGGCACGTCGATGAAGCTTACTGCACTCGCTGCGGTGTACTGCTCGAAAATCGTGATCTGAAAGTAAATGCAAAAATACACATTAGACATTAATTTAAAACCACTGATTGAGATCACTGATCAAGAGGATTGAAAATTGAATGATTTTCAAGATTTTCTTTTTTATACATGTTTTCGGCAGAACCAATGTTCAGACTTGCTAAAATTATCAAATCTGAAAACCATTAGTAAAACTCATTATTCATTAAAATTTCATTTTTGAATAGATTTGGTGAATAAAAAATCATTTTGGCAAGGCCAAAGGCTTGAGGGATTTGCCGATTTTTTCTAGAAAAATAAGAATGAAACTAGAGAGTGGGGAGGAACAAAAAATATTTTGTTGATCTTGCCTCTTTCACGAACACTGAAATGCTTTCTAGTTGAGCAGAGAGCTCAAGGACTTGCAAAGTTTTTGTCCGAGAAAAAACGAGCGGAGGAGGAAGAGAAGCGATTTTTAATGATAATTGATTGAAGAGACCGAGGCACGCATTGAAGTGATGGGATGACACGCAGTCTTCACGTATCTTTCTATCCACTCAAATATTATCTAACAGTGATAAAAGATCTGGATGTCAACATCAAGAATTTTTACTATTTATTTACATTTTGAACAATTTTTGATCGAACTACTTGTATGTAATAATTTTACAAAGATACCAGTAGTTTCAATTTCAACTTTTCAATGGGACCCTCGCAAACTTGAAAATTATCATTCTTGCGTAATTATATGAAATAATTACCAAGTTCATGGAAACTTAACTGGCATTGAAAATTACTAAAATCATATTCCAAAAATATATTTCAGATTCAACTCGTGCACGATGGAATGGGCTAAAAATCACATCAAAATTTGCTATAAGGTTGCACATTGCAATTTAATTATTATTTTATATGAATGGGTGCATTGTAATGTAGACTGATATCCAGCAAGCACAAATTCAATCTAAAAATTTAACCATAATTTTCAACATCCGTGCAGAACCGACCTGGTTGTCACCCTGGACCAGCAGCGGGGCGGGCACGTAGAGCGTTCGCTGGGGGCCAACGGACCAGTAGCGCCCGACGTTGAAGCCGTTGACGAACACGACGCCCTTGTTCCACTGACGCATGTCCAGGAACGTGTCCAGCGGGGGAGATGAGAGCGTCACTGTGGTGCGGTACATCGCTGGTCCGTTAGCTGACGTTGTGAATGGCTCCCATCCCGTCAAGCTGACCGGAAAACAAATGAAGGGTAAGTATACAATGGCAGTTATATAATATTTCATCAGACAAATAATATTCATGCATACTTTTCTAGCACTCACCCGTTAACGAAACTCTTTTTGAACTCCAAAGGTGTCATCGTCCACCCTAGAACGCGTTCCCTGTCCACCAAGACGTCGCCTTCCCAAAGGCCCTTTTTCTGGTAGAAATTGTGCGCCGCTCCGTAATTCACGCGGCCAAGGTTCTCGACCAGAATGTCAAGACGATCCGCCGGGTTCCCAGTGCCGGGTAGAGATATATTTTTGTCCCTGTTGAGTGAATTGAGTAAAACTACTATCCTGAGCTTATGTACTTTCTCGAAATGTATGTTCTTTTGTAAACATGACATGAGGGGTAGGACGTTTAAAGTTATTTGGACCGTGTCAGATTCTATATAAGCCACAAATTCCTCTACGAATTTCATAGAATATTAGAATGAGAGTAGAAGCCTAAATTAACTAGGCTTGTTTGAATGGGATGCTACAAAATGCGTGAGACTCAGTCCCTTCAAGAATTGAGTAATATTAAAATAATATTGAACGCTACTGCAACTCATATATTGTAATCAATGCGCTGATTGTATAAGTTACTGGTAAACGAATGATGCAAAGTTACTGGTAAAATTATAAGTTACTGGTAAACGAACGATACAAAGTTACTGGTAAAATTATAAGTCACTGGTAAAGCAATGAAACACAGTTGGTGGTAAAATGATAGGTTACGAATTAGTTACGAATGATACAAAGTCAGTGGTAAAATGATAAGTTACTAGTAAACGAATGATACAAATTTCGAGGGGAAGAAAAGTTGACCTGCCGTTCCAGAAGCCGAAATCATTAACATCGTTGAGGTGTTGGTATGGTTTGGTTTGAACAACTAAGTCGACAAACACCTGCGCCATGTCTCTGTAAGCCAAAATATAGTGCAATTAGGGATTCATCCACGTAATCTGATTAAAAAAATCATGAGAATTTGTTTAATAATCATATTCGCATTCAATGACTTGATTGAAAAAAGATATTCTAGTTTTTGAGACCTTCCACGGGGATACTTGACTATCAGATACCTACCTAACATGTCCCCTGATGAGCAGCTCAGACTGGGGCACCTGTAGCTTCACGTTTGTGGAGTAGAGGAGGTACCCGTAAGATTGACCGTTGCCGTTGTTCATGTCCAGCGCCTCCATGTTCAAAGGCTCGTCATTTACGAACTTTACCTGCAAGAACAAAACCTGGTCAACCAGACTTTGCTAACGACGTAAAGTTGAATTTTTGCGCAGATAAATAATAATTTTTTATACACTGATAAATAATTCGAAATATTCTGCAACTATTGAACTGACAGGAGCCTGGCTGATGAGGGAATAGATGTCCAGGATCTCAGTGACGGGGAAATCTCCGTACGCCGCCTTCTGTCGCTGTGCCGGACCCACGGGGTTATCCACTATGGAATTTATAACAAAATGTAACGCTTAGTTCAAGTAAAGTCTACTCCTGCCATGACCTGCTAAACAGGCATTCAACATTTCTTTAACATATGAATCATGTTGCCATCAAGAACGAACAAATTCATCTGAGCATCGAAGAACTCACCAAATTACCTCACCTCACCAAACTACAAATAATGGTATAGAATTGTTTTATTCAATAGAGCACACTGAAAGTCATGATAATGAATGTTAAATATTTGAGATATTTCCTTACCAATCCCGTTCAGTGGGTTGTACAGTGCGATGAGTTCTACAAGTCTAGAATATTTTTCTGTGTAGTCACCGGCTTCAGATAGTGGCGCTCCGTAGTCTGTCCAAGTATACATTATTATTTCTGAAGCATGAAATCAATAAGAATAGACTAGATAATGAAGTATTTGCAATATCAGTTAAAATATTTTTTGTTAGAATAATTAATTTAGAACCTTTTTGCTTAGTGATCAATTATTTTATACTTAAATCAGGAATAAATTTGCGATACTTCTCACCGTAGGACGTGACGATAGGAGCGTAGGTAGGCCATGTAGGGACGGCGTTGGCGCCAGCCATGAAGCCGAAGTTTGTGCCGCCGATGAACATGTAGAAGTTCACGGACGAGCCATGGGACAAGATGTAGTCCAGGGTCGTGGCAAATTCTGGTAATCATTTTTAAATGCCAGGTGATTTATCAAATTAAAATCGATTCAAGTATTTGTATATTGTTGAGCGTTCTATGTTTCTACCTTGCAGAAAAAAGACGTTCACCGTAGCAGAGAGATTAATTGAACTGAACACAAATGTCGCAGCACTGATGTTTTTAGGTTTCAAGTCGACAATTTTACATTTCACGAAGCACCAAGAGTATTTCACTGAGACTTAATAAATAAGTTAATGAGAAAAAAAAATAAACCTAAAAATTGTTCCATCATTTTTCCGTAAAAAAATCGAGGATCGAAATCGGATTTTCATGGAGCACGAGTAAGGAGTTCCAAATAATTGAGCGAACTCGCTGCTGCGGCAAAAATTGCTGATATGATTTTTCATTTTTCAGACAGTATGAAATCTTTAATGTATCCTGTAAAAAATCAAAAAGAGCATATTTTTGGCAGTATATGATAACCAACACTTTGGATGTTCTTTCATGTTATTTAGGACTTAAACTAAGTCTATGCAAGAAATTTTGTACCATCAACATCCCAGTCGGTGTGAACATCAGCAAGCCAGTGGTCGAACCAGCCGGACCAAAATTCAGTCACCATCATTGGTCTGTTGGGCTGCAGGAGCTTCAGCATGGACAGGTTGCTTTCGGCGTCTCTCTGGAAGTTTGCCGTCTGAAGAACTGCAATGAATGAAGAGATAAACTTATGTTAAGGGTCATTACATAATTCAAGTTTAATACCAGATGTGTTTTTTGTTATGGGAAGGTGGCTATTTATCAGGCAAAATACACCAGGACATATTAACACAGAAATCAAAATGTTTTACTTGTACGATTCTAGACGAGTAAGCGGATCAATGACCATGATATTATGGAAAATTGAATAGACTGTAAACTTGTTATATAGAGATATCTATTAAACCAACACCAATTAATGACAACAATTATTGGCATCAATTATTGACAATAATTATTGGCAATAATTATTGGTAACAATTAATGATGCTTTCTCACCGCCAGGCAAAGTTCCCCAGTCGAGTTTGCTGGCAGGCGAGTCTGAAGTGTAGAGCAGAGAGTTGTCCAGACCGCTGGATAGCGTGAGGTTCTTCAGAAAATTCATGTACAGGTGATCTCGAGGCTCGTCATCGTACCCGAAATTCCCGTACTCGTTCTCAATCTGAGATTTCGGGAGATAAATAGTTCATCAGCCGTGTGAACGAATGGGAATCGTTCACGGTCTTTTTAGGCTTTTTAATCATTTCAATTTTGTTTAAGCTAGGTGATAAATTATACTACATGTATGGGTTTTTTAGAGAAGCCGGTTAAATAACTTAGGCTTCCGACCCCTTCAGGGAAGGTTGGTCTCAGAGAGAGGTGACGAGTGCGAGTCCTTTTATGTGAGACAGCAGTTGTGTCCTGCTAGCCGATCGGTTAAGTTGCTGCTCTGACCTTCCTAGTGGTAGCTGGTAACTGCCGATCTGGCATAAAGCTTGGTGTCTAGCAGTGTGCCCTCTCCCTGACTGAGCTGATTAATTATTTGCCAGTGTCTGCGCTGCTCTATATAATTGTAACCGTAACTGTAGAGTGCCCATTTTTAAGTGCTTATTTCTATTGGAATAAACGTGTTTGAAACTTCAGTGGTGAACTGGAAAGTTGTGTTTTCATTATCGATTATTTAAAACAAGCTTTTTAAAAGTTCGTGGCCAGCGTGCAACCTTGGGCAGCCATCTGCTGAAGCTAAGGTAGTGAACGTCCGGCCACAGCGGAAAAAAGATTTTAACGTACATTCTTTTAAGTTGACTTGAGTAATTTATTCTGCATTCAAGTGGTAGAGAAGGTAAATAGACTCGCGACTTTCACCGAAAGATAACCAAAGAAGAATTAGCTTTGAATGCGCGAGCGATAATAAATGATTCAAGCTGATGCGACCATGATAGACTGTATATATGCCTGGTAAAAATTTTTGAGCCAAAACTGCACCCAGTTATACGCCAAAACTCTTGCCTTGGTAATTAGCTCCAAATTTTACAGATTGTACAGATCTGGAGTTTAACCAAGATAAGAAGCAAGCGTATACCTGGGGGGGCAACAATTGGCCTTGAGCGACAAATGTCAATTTTGGGCGCTGACAAAAGCGAAAATGATTTATCGCGATTTATCTGCACATTTCGACGATAAGCAGAAGCAGCAAATGTAAGAAATTCTCTGAACTTTTGACATTCACCATTATCGGTTGGTGATGACCTTCTCTGATAAGGATAACAATGATTGGTCCTGCAAACTAGTATGTCCTAATAATACGCCTGTAATGATTGTAACTTATCGCGCTGACCTGCACGGCAATGATGGGTCCTCCTTCAGTAAACTCGAGGTCGGCGACCTGAGGCAGGAGGGCCCCGAAGTACGCCGCGACGGCGGACCGGTAGTTGTCGTAGTAGGTGCGCACGTGCATCGTCGGGTCCCGCTGCAGCCAGCTGACATATTGAAATGCATTGAGCAGATTAACATACATTTCAAAATTCTTAAAGAAGAGATAAACTGAATATTGAGTGAGGCTATCACTGTTGTCGAGGAATTTTGATTTATATGCACTTCATTTGAGGCTATGAAGCAGTACGAATTTGATGCCTAACAAGGGACCATCAGTGGTACATCTAAATATTATACCTACAGGAGTTTCAAAATATTAGGTAATAATAATAATTATGAGTGAGTATCTACTCCAGGCTTGACAGCTGAGTTTACGATGCTCCTGAAGGAAGTGGAAAGGATTAACCCCTAAATCCACCATCAATCGACTGTAATTTGCATTTATTGTATTAATAACTTAGTGAAAAAGACACCAATTGGGGAAATACCTGGGCATGCCACCAAATTCCCACTCCGAGCAAATGTAGGGCCCCGGCCTGAAGAGAACGAAGAGATCTTCCTCCTGCGCCATCTGCACGAAGCTCCTCAAGTCCAGAAACGGGGACATGTCCTCCCCCAACTCCCCGAAGTCGTACTCGCCTTGCCGGGGCTCGTGCAGGTTCCAGGGCACGTAACTAAATTATAACATATATGTATTATATTCGAAAAGAGGTATTATTATACTCGAAATAATGCTTGGAGCAAAAGAAAAGAAATTACCAGCATAATTTCCAACTTACGTTGATGCTGATGCTTCTGAAAGCATTGATGATGCGTTCGTAGAATAATACTCATATTTCTTGTTGTAAATCTACTAAATGGAAGCCATCCTAAAAATTTATGTGACTGCCATAACTTTATGTAATGCACCAAACTTTTAAAAATAAACTATATAACCAAAGTCTTACAAAATTATGACCTTTAATTTTGCGTAGCAATACATTGCATAAAACGCAACAACAACAAAAAAATACGATTAGATCCTGAATGTGTGTAGATTGCGTTCAATGCTAATGCACCTCAGTTCTAAACACCTCACTTCTCATGATTGCACAATTTTACATTTAGGTTAGAATGAAGAAAAACTCGATAATTCAAAATTAATTTAATTAATAATTATATTAATTATAATTAATATAATTATTATAATTATAATTCAATTGATCCCCTTTTCACGTCACAGCAATTGATAGCCGGTAGATGAACATCAGTACAAGAAAACATGCCCTGCTCGTCTCTGATTTCCTTTTGACTCTGGACCCTTCACGTTCTTCTTGGTCAGCTGATGGCCCAACAAGTCGACCTGTTTCAACAAGACGCCTGACGCTTTGCCCGAGTTAGTGCATTGTGTTGCGGTCTCAGAATCCACATACCTATAGTGGTACAGGCTCTACCTCGTCGCCTCTACTGTCCCTCACGGGCACGGGTAACAGAATGGCCTTCCATTTCTTTGCTTTCATCAATAAATTCTTTTAGACTAGTCTTAGATTTTTTCGCACCAATTACTAAATTCTTCCTGCAGGATTATTTCGCTACCTCATTCAGCTCTATATAATGAGGCTGGAAGCAGATGGCTGGGAACAACGGTCTGCTATATGCTTCATTTTCAGATTAGGCCTCGTATTAGCTCGAAAATCATTATATAGAATTGATGAAGTTTCTACAATTTTTCATTGTCATTCCTTCTTTTCATATACTCGTTTATAGAGGTTAGATATTGCATAAATTATTATTTGATGGATCTTTTTAATTTATGAACTTGCAACACAAATCGTGGAATTCAAATCAGTTGAGCAACTTTGATTGAGTAGCCTTTAGGAAATACTGGACAGCGCCACTCTGTCGCTTGGAAGTATGCCAGCAGTCAAACTACAAGTTAGCATAATTATAAGTTCAAGATTTATTGACTTTATTATGGAATGTTGAGGCTGAATTTGCAGACTGACTCACGTTTGCACTGTATTGAGTCCTGCCGCCCTCATCTTCTTGAAAGTTTCCCTCCAGTAATCAGGATGAACTCTGAAGTAATGGAAAGATCCCGAGAAGATCGTCAAGTTTTTGCCGTTCAGGGTGAAAGTTTCCCCCTCGGCCACCAGACCCGTGGATGGAACGCCATCAGGGACGTAATACTCGTACAGCGTCACGGACAGACAACTTTGTACCTGTTGAAGATTTATGCCTCATTTTTCCAAATTTTAAATTTAAAAATTTCAAAAATGAAAACAAATATTAAATATTCTTTTGATTAGACAGATAAGAGCTGACAAATACAATGATTCCTTCTTGTTTATTCCTTGTTTAAGAAACGATCGATCCTTGATCAAGGAACATTTATTCCATCTTGTTCAAGAAATGACCGATGCAAAAAAATTTAATTTTTATTTACTCTGGTGTAGCGTGTTCATTTTATTATGGCTTAGTTCATTCATATGTTGAGGAAAAATCGTCCTAGCGCATAAAAAAACTGCATACGCATGAATAAATCGTCATTAATTGTTATAAATATCTAAGGTTAAGCATAACAAAATATGTTCACTTTACTTTAATGTAATGTAGACCAAGCATCAAGTATAATATTAGCATAAAATACCGAAAAAATTTGTGATATTCCAATTTAATGGCAGTAGATTAGTAGATTAATAGATGCAAGAAATAATTTTGTTATTATTATTAGTCTGCCCACAGTTTTTCAAAGAAAAGTAACTTACCGTGAGTGCGATAAAGAACGTAATGACAGACAGATTTCTCGGCATCGTGAAGGAAGAGTAAGAAATAATCTGCGCTAACGGCCTTTGCTTACGACTCATCACTGACTTGAGTGCAGTTTACGATTGGCATTTAACCTGCGAACGGCGTCAGCTGGTGATAGCGGGAGACCTGCGCCAAGATAAGTGACAATCGAAGTATTCGGTGGAGCTTGGTTATCAAGGTCGATTGCGCATAACTTGCAAAAATCATCATGCATGATGAAAAATCGCGTATGAATTATATTTGATTCTATTCGCTTCGTTTTGAGAAGGAAACTGAAGCATAGAGCATGACAATTAAATTATGATGATTCAATATTAGAGTGTGATGGAGTTTCACACAAGTGAATTTTCAGGCTAGTTCCAATAATTAATTCTTCTAAGTTCAGTAAAACGACTTTAAATGTGTAGTCATCAACTGAAAATTCAAAGTTTTATAAATAATTGAATCGACAAAAAGATTAACTTTCAGAATTTTCAGAACTTTCAAATATTAATTTCTGCTTTCTCTGGTGCAGAGTATTTAACGTGATTAAAGTAGGAAACATTATATCAAGATATTATTTCATGGATCACAAATTTTTTGGTCGTTGTGACTCAAACCTCTCCAAAAATGATGGTAATTTTTGTCTGCTACGTAGCATTCATGTATATTGAATAAAAAAATCTCAGAACCTCAAAATAGTATTCAATCAATCAATCTCAATTTTTTTAATTTTTATCGGGGAGCAGGTATCTAAGGTATCTCATTCAAGGACAAAGTAGCTCCGACCCTTTGTCCACGATACGTTAGAACTATTGGCCTACTTTCATTTTTTTGTCTTTATTTGTGAATTTGCAGAATAAGATCGTTACTAAATTCTAAAATATTAGCTAAAGTTCAAGGATTATCTAATGATATAAAAAAGTATGAAAATTTTTCGCAAAAGATTTTGTTCCGATTGTGTTCGCATAATAAATATTATGTGTAATAATAGATAAAAAAGGTAAATAAAAAAAAACTGGCTGCGTTTCAGTTAACATTCATAGTTGCACAACGTAAACACGTGGGAGGGAAATATAAATACAAACCTCGTAGTCTTTTATTTAGTTCCCACCATTCTTAATATGATTTTCAACATTTTATTCTTATTCCAAGATCAGCGAGTCGATGAAAGAGATTTCACTTGCTGCTGAATACTGCTCGAAAATGACGATCTGTGGAGACACGAAATTTCTTGCTTTAGTTTACAAATGTATATTATATATAGTGTATATATACTGTATATAGTGAACAAAGTATTTAATACAGAGGAATTAGTCGAACATGCGTTTACTGCCTGCGTTACTGATAGTAGAAGAAAAGACTGACATTTAGCAATATTTTGCATAAAACTAATTTCTTTTATAAAAAAATATGGGAGAACGCTCGAAAAATATGGTCGATGTCAATGAAAGTGGAGGCTTGTGTTAAAACTGAACATATTTTAATTTTCATCAGGGCCATTTATGCACCTAAATAGCAGATATTATCTTCACTGACCTGGTTGTCACCCTGGACCAGCAGCGGGGCGGGCACGTAGAGCGTTCGCTGGGGGCCAACGGACCAGTAGCGCCCGACGTTGAAGCCGTTGACGAAGACGACGCCCTTGTTCCACTGGCGCATGTCCAGGAACGTGTCCAGCGGCGGAGCTGAGAGCGTCACTGTGGTGCGATACATCGCTGGTCCGTTAGCTGACGCTGTGAATGGCTCCCATCCCGTCAAGCTGAGGAAAGCACGTGATTGTGAAGCATACGATGACCGGGTAATATGATATCGACACAAAAATGTTATATTTATTCATATTTTTTCTAAACTTACCCATTAACGAAACTCTTCTTTAACTCCAAAGGCGTCATCGTCCACCCAAGAACGCGTTCCCTGTCCACCAAGACGTCGCCCTCCCAGAGTCCCTTTTTCTGGTAGAATTGATGCGCAGCTCCGAAATTTACGCGTCCAAGATTCTCGACTAAGATTTCAACACGATCAACGTTTCCAGTACCGGGGAGAACAATGCTCTTGTCCCTGAAGAGGGCAAGATACGGACAATGGCAATAGATTGTGATCAGTACAATCATGTTAAGAAACAGCAAAGGAAACTTCTGATGTCCATTCACATGACCAAACACATGAAAACTTTCTAAAACGCTGTAACTGTTTAACTTCATTAACATAAACTAACAACTTTAACATTTAAAGGGGAATATCAAAAGTAAATAATTTATTATTATTCCCTTTGATACCATCCACAGAGCTCGTTGATCAGCTAATAAACCAATTCGTAGGTTCAACTAATTAAATCACTTTTTATTATGCAATTTTACCTTCCATCCCAAAATCCGAACGCGCTCGTGTCATTAATTTCTTCATAAGGTTTATTCTGTAGTTCTCCATTAAGAAGCACCTGCGCCATGTCCCTGCACATGCAAATAAATTCTTAATAAATACTGTTAACACAGTTGGTACTTATACGCAAATAATTTTTACCATCAAGAAGTCTAACGATTTCTAAGTAATTATTTAATCGGTACCCAAGGTTCAGATATTCAACCTGACGTGTCCCCTGATGAGCAGCTCAGACTGGGGCGCCTGTAGCTTCACGTTTGTGGAGTAGAGGAGGTACCCGTAAGATTGACCGTTGCCGTTGTTCATGTCCAGCGCCTCCATGTTCAAAGGCTCGTCATTTACGAAGCTCTCCTGCGTGATAATTACCTTTGAGAATTCACACTGCTGGAGAATTCACTGAGACTGAAGAATTCGGTGACAATTCACTGGTCATTGACGCAGTGCTTTTGATTTATATTCAAAGGCGATGGCGAAGCTCAATCAATGAAATTTCAAACGATTAGAAAATTTCTTGACTGACTGGAGCTTGGCTGACGAGGGAGGCGAAGTGTAGGCTCTCTGCGATCGGGAAATTCCCATACTCCGCTTTCGCTCGCTGCTCCGGACCCGCGGGGTTGTCCACTGGAAAAAGTGTGTTTCAGTTATTTTGTAGACACGTAAAATTTTTTGGCAATTAAGATTCTAAAAACCGTGGGAACAACAGAGCTTTTTCAGGAAATTTTTTTTGTATTTGTACGTGTTGCATTGCTAAACTGTTTCTTTTATAATATCTCATTTACAAAATAAGAAATCAATGTAAGTCATGAAAAAAATAGAATGGAAATTCAGAATGCAAACCGATCATATGTACCAAGTGTTGAGTGGCACACCAAATGCCCAGCATCTAATAAAAAGGAACGCACCAATGCCGCTAAGTGGACTGTACTGCGCGATGAGGTTGGTCAGTATTGTGTACTTTGTCGTGTAGTCTCCAGCCTCCGACAGCGGAGCGCCATAATCTAACAAAAAAAAAAAAATCAGAAAATTGTGCCAAAGTCTTTCATCAATTCATAATATCATATTTGTATGAAATTCTTATATTAAAGTGTCCACATCTTTTGAATTTCAAACTCCAATTAACTAACCGCCGATTTGGAGTTGGCAAATATAACACAAGGTATGAAATTTTGACCTCTCTTTCCACGATTTATGTATCCCAGAAGTTTAAAATTGGGCAATAAATAGCACGACTGACATTTTGGGAAACTATAAAAATTTTTAACTCTTCACAAATGTATGCAAATATAATACATATTGATCAGTAAATGATTATTTGAAGACTGCGTACTGCGTATAAGCCATGAATGCAACTGTTGCTGCCTCGTCTCACCATAGGAAGTGACGAGGAAGTCACCGGTCATGAAGCCGAAGTTCGTGCCGCCGATGAACATGTAGAAGTTGAGAGACGCTTTCTGCGACAATACGTAGTCCAGTGTGCTAGTGAAGTCTGTCGAATATCCAGTGCTATTCAAGTTCTAGTACGAAAATATTGAAACTATCGAAAATTGGAAGAATATAATTTCAAAAATAGTAAATCAGCACGATTTTCAGGATATAAATTATGTTGATTAGTTATTAGAAGTTTGTTGCACACGATCAAAGATATACCTACAAGTTAAATAAATAATAAGTTGAGTGCGACCTGAATAAAAAGTTTCAGTCGCGCTTGAGCACGAGTTATTTACTTAACATTATTTTTTCGTGAAAACAAGGTTATTCTTTAATTCTTGATGGCACATCCTTCAAAACTTTCATGCGATACCCCCAACCTCAATTAATAAATATAAACACATCATGCAGCGGATGAAAATCTTATTTGAATACTGCGCTGGCGTGAAAAATTTGGGACCAATTCCCAGAATGTCATGAATCATGAGATTATTTTTTCAATATTAAATATTAATGAAAGATCTCTTTGCTGTATGTAATATTAGCAATTGAATCTTAATTTTAATTTATTTTATATACGTATAAATAATATGGAGCAATAAATTCTGATATTTGTTGAATATTTAATCAATGTAGTCTAATAATACAATATCTCTCGGTAATATTTTAAGAGATAACAGAATAATTCGATTTATATTGCAATGCATTTTTCCCCCGCCTATAAGTCAAGGCAAAAACTCGAGGCGTTTGAAGCCACACTTTTACTTTTTAATATACTATGCTTTTTGTTGACAAACTATAAACGAGGCAAAAAATCTCACCTTCTTCATTCCACACTGAGTGCCCTGAATTCATCCACTTGTCGAACCAGCCGGACCAGAACTCCGACACCATCAGCGGCCGATTGGGCTGCAGAGTTCGGAGGAGTGAAAGATTCTCCTCTGCAGCAGCTTGGAAGTTTGTCGTTTGGAACACTGATCGAAAAAAAAATGAAAAATCAAAATAAAATAAAATAGAAGTGAGCACTTTGATTTTCATGTAATGTGATATTCTACGACAGATCTTGACTATCTATACTCTATAGAGTAAACGAAAACATAACTTCGAAAAGGCACTCATCACTATTCATGCCTAAATTGAAGGAAACACCGTGAAAAAAATGTTAAATTAATCATTTATAGGCGTATTAAACATGCATTGAATTAAGGAAAATTTATACGTAAGCCAGGCAGTGTTCCCCAGTCGAGTCGGTCGACAGTGGAGTCGGAGGTGTAGAGTAGGGCTGAGTCCAGCCCACCGTCTAGGAGCAAGTCCCGCAGGAAGCTCAAGTAGAGGCGGTCACGAGGCTCATCGTCGTACCCGAAGTGACCGTACTCGTTCTCAACCTGGTTTGTAATTAACTCACCGTTTATCAGAGGAAAATAATTAAGTGATTAGCAGTAGTTGTGAGCTTATAAATCATTGTCCTAACTACCTGACATGGGTGATCATTACATGTTTGGGCTTGGATGATGGTTCAGACCATACATAACCTGCTCGACGAATAGGATGCTAGAAATAATGGCTTGGTCTTGAAACTTAACGAGCATAGCAATTTCGGATAATTAACTGCATATTCAATCTAATATCTGACCTGCACGGCAATGATGGGTCCTCCTTCAGTAAACTCGAGGTCGGCGACCTGCGGCAGGAGGGCCCCGAAGTACGCCGCGACGGCGGATCGGTAGTTGTCGTAGTAGGTGCGCACGTGCATCGTCGGGTCCCGCTGCAGCCAGCTGGGCAGATACTTTTGCATGTTTCAACACGACAAGTTTCAATCATAATATGTTCGAAAGTAACATTCCTGGCAACAAAATTAGAATACTCAGTAAGTGACTAGTAAGAGTTGTGAAAACGAAAATTATTGTGGAAAAGTGTCGTACGAATATGATTGCCAATATTATATACTAGTACCTTGGAAGGCCCCCAAACTCCCACTCAGCGCAAATGTAGGGCCCGGGCCTGAGATTTACGAAGAGATCTTCCTCCTGCGCCATCTGTACGAAGCTCCTCAAGTCCAGGAACGGGGACATGTCCTCCCCCAACTCCCCGAAGTCGTACTCGCCTTGCCGGGGTTTCAGGGTGAAAGTTTCCCCCTCGGCCACCAGACCCGTGGATGGAACGCCATCAGGGACGTAATACTCGTACAGCGTCACGGACAGACAACTTTGCACCTGTTGAAGGTAGGGAGAAGTTATTTAATATAACACATACGAGATTTGTAAAAAGTAAGTATTTGAATATATTGGTAAAATTAAATTGGCTAATTATGATTTAGCGGTGTGTTTTGTATAATAGGTTGATCAGCAATGATATTTGTTCAAATTCTTCCTTGCGAATCATTCGATCGTATTGGAGCAAGACTGTGGACGTTTATAATGCACAGGATTTACCGATATATTCATAAGACATATATATGTGTAGCTCGAGCGATGTAACAATGTAATGTAATAATTATGTAATTTAATTGATTGGAAGCCCGCTGTTTCGATACGACTATCGTCTTTCTGCACGAAGCTGTGAAACACAAGTAAGTTCTGGCTCTGTTCAATTAAAGATTTAGGGAATTGCAAGGAATTATTATGTTATCGCCGTAGTATATATATTCTATTAAAATAAATAGAGTTAATAATACGACAGCTTACTACATCTTAAACACTGAAGTGATCCTTACAGCATAGTAGGGTAATTTATAAAATAATTATAATTATTGTTATATAACAGAATTGACGAATCTGCATGATAATAATTAAGAAATAAATTATAATTATATTTAAATAATGTGCGAAATTTTATCCATTTTTCCTCACCGTAAATGCCACTATGAAGGCGATTGAGACGGTAATTTTCGTCATTTCATGTATGAGACCAGCGAACTCTCAGGACCTTTTTCCTCGCTAGACTTGACAAAACTGAAGGGCTACGCGGTAGGGGTGAGAGCTTCATCAGCTGCTGATTGCTAAGCGATACACGACTTACATGATGCTAAGTACAAGGCAAATGACAGGCAAAGTTGCATAACTTGCATTAAAAACACTCACATAGCCCACCCGTGAGCAATGTGAGATGAATACATCTTTATTTTTTTTGTCACAAATTACTCAAGTTTTTCTGCGCCTATATTAATTAAGTTTATCCGTATATAATAAAAATTTCTTGATATTTCTTTCTTCGTTTGTACCCGCACCGAATACTGCGATGAAACGAGCAATTCTGTATTAAAGCGATCCAATTGTTGAAGGAGAAATCAACGCATCACGGCTTCCGAATCTTAATAGATTTCATGTTTACGTGTTGAGTAGAGTAGCTTTGAGGTGCATGACGAAAATTGTTGGCACCCATATATGGACGATACTGCACCTGCTACAGGGAATTATACAAAATAAATTGGACAGATAATTCATTATCAACGGAAATATGATGCCTAATTTATACGTAAACGGGTATTAGTGGTGAATACCGTTAAGTTTCTCGTTCAAAAATATTTATATATTATGGCTTTTGACGTCAAAAATTAAAGATGTTTGCAGTTGCAATTGTAGCATTAACGTGACCGATGTCTATGAAAGCTAAAGTCCTAAATTATTATTTTTTGAAGTAATTCAATCAGAAATATGCCGTACAAAATATTACCAAACAATAACGAAATTTCAGCAAAACGCAACAACTACCGAAGTTTTGTGTCATGTTAGAAACTGCAAATTAGTTGGCATCTAATTTGCAGCATCCGTTTATTAAATAAGAATCGGATATAAGTTACTGTTAATTCATCGTGGTTTAATATCTGCCGTAGCTTTAATCATAATTCAAATGATAAAGATTACATTCGAAGTACAAACGTTACTTATAACATGACCATGCATATTCAACTTTCTGTAAAAATCTGGACCAGTTTCACAGTCTTCTTCTGACTGTCAGGTGTTGGCTACGAGAAGTTTGGTTCATTTTGTTACATTTTGTCTAGCTATTTAGAAAATGTGTTCATTTTGTCTAAATAAATGTCTATTTAGAAATGTGTTAGATGTAATCTTATAGGGCTAACGGCTAGTGTTAGAGATAACTTTCAAAGACTAATCTGATAAAGTTACAAATTGCAAGACGTTTGAACAGACGCGACGAATGTAAAATGTTTAGGATCTTTTAACTATTTGAGGCCGTGATTCGATACTACCCCTGGCGCGATTATTAAATATTTCATTTATAATTGACATATTGCAAAGCAAAACCATTGAAAAACAAGATTTGGAAAGTGAAATATCGCTCTTCACTTGGTTGAAGCTTGCTGACCTGACTGTCATCGTACCCGTGGTTCAAACTTCAATGCAATCGATAATTTGTGTTCCAAAAATTTGTGTGTACGGGGGTTGACTTGAAACTATAAATGCAGTAAATAGAGAATATTTAGGCGTATTTTAGGTTTAAAAATGAATCTCCTAATTGTTATTCTTGATCTTCTCCAAAGGGCACCATGCCACAGGGAACTATGGAATCGATAATAAATATTGATTACGATGAAGACATGGCGAATACAAGCCATCAACAGATAAACAGCAGAACACGGCAACTGCTGATCACATGGGAGGTAAAGTTAATTGTACCTCAGTGAATAAAACCTTACTTCTGCGATACGCTGTTTATTTCGCTTTATTCCCAACAGGGCCTTTTCACCAATGTTCTCGATTTTCTGGCCTCCTCACGTCTCATGTTATCCCTCAGACTACTAAATATTATTTAGAATTCTGATACATGGATGTTTAAATTACTAACAAGTATTAGGAAGTCTGATTATCGCATTTCGCACATTATCGCTTGCTACTGGAATCACACACATATATCACATTAACGTTTCAGTATGCCTCTTTACCTAAATTCTGTAATTATAGTAGGAGACATGGAAAAATTATTAAAAAAATACCGAAAAGAAAAGTACGGTGTTTTAGCCAAAACGCATCAGCATAAATTATGGTGTGACTTATAATGGATAGTTTATTTTCTGTCTGACTTCCCAACTTTAACCCATGTTCGTGAAGAGGTTGGTGAGGCCCGACGGAGCTGATCCACTATATACCAGGCAGGTGTAGCTCCTCTATAATCCCCAAGTAGCCAGTCTGCGCAGGGCTTCAGTAGCTCGCCGCGTGCACATTCCGTCTGAGTTGCAGTGATGTGACAGGCGGAGTTCTGTGACGGATGTCGAGTGAACTGGACGCAGTGCGAGCTCCGCAGTGCGCATGTGTACAGCGCTGAGCATTAAAATATCGCGGAATACGTACGGAAATTTCGTTAAAATTGATCGACAGCATTATTTCATTTTAACAGGCTATTGTTGACCCGTGTGACATCTTTCTGAGTATATGAATGCTTTTGGTGATAACTAGCCTGGAGGTTTTTCGCACCGCACTGAAGTATTGTGTAAAGGGGATCACTTGAAAAACACTTCTTATTCCCGGGTATGAAATTTAAGGGTAATTGTATGCAAATTAATGGTATCAATTCATATATATTACGTAGTTTGGATATGGCTTGCTCGAAATCACTGTTATTTCTTAAAGAATAAAAGCCAATGCAAGTGAAATCAGCCTAATAACTGTAATTCATTATACTTGTCTGGCTTTTTACTCGTGAATTGTTTGAATAAGTTATGCACAACATTCAAGATTAATAAGCAGCTAGAGTCAACTTGATATTACGCCTGATAATTTCCGTAAACGGTAACTATCCACAAAAAATTGCGCGATCTACATGAGATCAAGTTTTACTCAAGACTACTCATAACTTTTATAACTCTTAGAATCTGCACCTTGAAGATCTGAAGCATTGGAACATAGATATATAGGGATGAGTGCATCCGGCAGTGATTCCGGTGGGGAAGAATTTTATGGGTTGACGCAAGACATGTTTTTACTGGCGGGCAACCCCAATCCCGTGGGGCTGCCCTACCTCAGGCAGGTCCTGTCCTCGGGACAGGACGCGGAAGACAGACTTTCTCTGCTGGGGTCCATCGAAATGTCGGGGGGCTACTCCGACGAGGGGGTGAGTTCGGTTGCGGAAATAAATGCTGGTTAGGAATCGCCTGTTGCTGAAGTGCATTTGTTGGATGAGTTGAATTTACGATGCGGATGGGGTGAGTGGAGTGGAGTTGTGGATGGATAAGGAGGATGGGGTGAGGATAAGTAGACTTCCAAAGAATTAACTCCGTACGAGCTAGGAATGTGGAGGCTCAATTCTCTCGTATTTTGTAAATTACGTGAATGTATTCGAAAATATAAGACTATTTATCTAAATCAAAACTGAAATGAAGACACTGTGCGCAGTTACAAATAAAACAATTCCTCAATCAAGTTCGCATTTGCCACCGGTAAAAGCCGGTTTGAATGAACGATAAAATTATGATTGTTGGAGCGTCTTTAGCGAGTATCGACGCATTCATCTCTCTGAGCTGCCTTGCCTAATCGGTACAAGTCTAATATTTAAGAAATACCTGACCAACTAACAAATTTATAATAAATATATCGAGTTTCTATTACAGTCTCAAGGATCGTAATGTGGTGTACGCACCGGAATGTCAGAAATCTCAATGCTCAGAAATTTGGTTTTCTTTCACTTTATTAAAACTGAGGTTAATAATACCATACGCAGACTTGCCACAACTACCGTACTAATAACTTATATTTCATCTCAGTCAGAAAGCGAGCTACTGCCTTCAGCAGCGCCGGGGTACGGAGCCACCTCCCCGGCGCGGCCCGGGGTGACGCTCGTGTGGCGCGAGTTGTGTGCTACGCTCACGCACAAACAGTCGTTCTATAAGCGACACTTCACCTCCGAAAGGCCTAGGATAACTAAAGTCCTCAATAATGGTATGTTAAATGTTCAGTATTTTCGTTACAATGCATACAAAATGGTCACTGTGGTTAATAAAAACTCGTATTCGTAGGTAACCTCAATTGCTGCACGGTTTTGTACCACTATAAGCAAAGGCAAGCGTGGGTGAGATAGGAGACGAGTATGAACCGAAACCTATTGAGTACATAGATCGTTAATACGGACACATTCCAAGCTTGTGGTTCGTATGTTGAAATTTGTTATATTTTCACTCTCGTCGGTAAGGATGCATTAGCGCATATTTTGCCTGTTTGCAGGGAAAATTCACTATGTTTCAAAAAATAATTCGTCATTTTCGATTAACATTTGATAGATATCGGGACAACAATTTAACTAGCTGTGGAACATTCAAGTATAAACCTTGAGGATGATTAATGCGTTCATCAACGTAGTACTTTGAAGCCCCTTTGCAGATCGACAGGTCCGCTTTCACCGTGATTTTTTAATCCACTGCTATCCGCATGTCTACCCACTTGAATTTACAATATATATCCAACTTGTAGCTGTTGAATTTCACTCGTATTTAGTTTGTATCAGGCGTCGCATCACTCATCTTTTAATTTGTCTTAAGCATGGTAGATATTTTTCAAATTATATTCTCACTGGTCAGCATGCATTTTCTTAACATTTACCCAACAACTTCCAAATATCTTTCAGTTTATTTCTCGTTCCTGATTTTGAAAGTAGGTTGAGCAGACGATCTGTGGCCACCTCGTACAAACACGTTCCTCGTGCCACCGCGCCTGCCCTTCGTGCTTCTAAGGAGATTAACCGCGGCCTGTAGGCTAAGCTTAACTCTCAGACATCGTAATTTTGTCTTCTTACGATTTCTTAACGCAGTTAACTTGTTTTCGTGTCTTGACTTCGATCAATCTTCTTTCGTGTCTAGGCTTTCCAAGTTAAAATTTTTCTCTTGCCAATGCTGCTTTTTCTTATTCATAATCATTGTCAAATATGCAATTAAGTCATCGCCTGTTCCTTTCCGTTGATGATAAGCAGTCATTCTGCCTGCCAACGGAAAACTAAACTTCGGATGTTATTCTATTTCTAAACGCACATCAGGTGCGTTTTGTTGAGGTCTAGTTCAAAATGTCTCCAACAAACATATAAGGCTATGTTCATTTATTCTAAGGGATCCTCAATTGTGTATATAACGTTTTTCAATTATTTACGTGATGTCCTTACATTGGTTTTTTCACTTTAATTTTAAGACCCATTGATCTTAGAGAATGATCTTATAAATTTTTATTGTATTTTTATGCCCTCCTGACTGATAACTATAAATTCTTTTTACTTACATTCATTTATTTCATTCATTTATCACCTCAAAAAGCATTAAATTAGGGTGTTTCTTCATCAACTGTTTAACGACAGCATTTCTTCAAAAGAATCGCAGGAATGCCGTTCAGCAATTAAAATTTTACGTTTTCCACGCTACGAAAGTGGAAAAATGAAAAAATCAAACTTCATGACTATACTTTTCAAACTATCTTCATTAATTAAAAGCGGTGTCAGCGTAGAATATTAGGCTAACTGGTCTGTCGCTTATTCTGAAAATTGAAGAATTTTTAGAGCTTGATGCGGTCTCAAACCCGCAACTCACTGCTTCAATTAATATCCGCTGTACTTGACCAGCCCGGCCTCCCGCTGATTTTTACCAGAACTGTCAGAGGAAGCTAGACAGCTCCAATTTTGGTGTTCTGAACTTTAATGCGCAACCTATCATAATATAAGCTGCTAAAATCAATATCTAAGTTATTATTATTGTCAAATGAAATTATCATGCAATAATTCTCAGGGTTGTTCCACTTCTAAAAGCAGAGCATATTCTAATGTTAAAACATGTGGGTCGTTAGAGCGATGCAATTCGTAAACGATCTCTGGTCGTATTAACTCGGGAGTCATGCAGTTCTTCCGCGAATTACATCGCTCGCACCCTAATTTCCGTCTCCTGTTGTGTCTCTGATCTCGATTAGTGTTCGTTTCCCGATCTCAGCGGGGAACACTTGACGGAAAATATCGAAATTTTGCCGAGAATCGACGGCGTACTCGCTTCTAATTGTCATTTTTATTTCTATTTTTAAAAGGAAAATTTCTATTCGATCATATTGTCATATAATTGAAAGCGTATAATTATTTGTTATTTGCAGAACGTAATATTGTATCTTTTATTGAGCATTCTTATTAAAAACACGATCTTTTTTTATTGTGGACATGGTAGGAGTATGTGAAGTATATTGGTTGGTGATAGTGCGTGACGCTGACGTGTCGATTTCCGGTTTGCTTGAGGTGGTTACGAATCTTAGATGGCTGTGAACACGAGGGATACTACAACACCTGATGTGAACGATATTAAATTAGGTCCTTTTGATTCGTGTATCAAAATTGTGGGTTAGTAAAGTAACTAGTCAATTATGTCAACACTGTTTATAAGAATTTTATTTATTCAGTTTCTGGAGCAGTGGTGGGTGGAAGTCTGCTGGCTCTTATGGGATCAAGGTAAGACAGTAAAATCTTTCATCACTTTGTCTACAATTTATCACTTAATCACTATAGGTATTATCATATAATTGTGCACAAATCTCTCATAGTTCCATGTTTCATCATCTAAATTGGTGGAATAATGTTTCGCACTAATTCATTCCCGTTTTCAGCAGCAAGGAGGCCCTTACCTCAAGCACTCCCATTGCAATAAATACTCCCAATATCAAGGATTTTTGTTTTGTAAAACGATTAACTTACCGATGTTTAAAAGCAGGAAAAAAAGGATAATAGTTCTTAAACTGATAGTAAACATCAATTTATATATTGGGACAATTCAATTTTGATAGAAGCTCTTGGATCCTATGATCACATGACAATTCTCAATAGGCGACTCCTTGGCACCACCATTCCGTAGCGACCTTTTTCCATGAAATTTCTTTGAGTTTGGTGCTGATGACGGAGCTGATATCTGAAACTTCTCAATGAAGAGATAACATAGGGAATTCATTTGGCGTTTTATTTGCTCTAAATTTTTACTGCTGAGTATGGTCATTCAGGCATTCAAATTAATCTTATTTGGCTGTCATAAACAATGACGAATTTTCACATGATTTTGTGGAGAAATATCAAAGTTAGTTGATTTAACATTTCTTTTTAACAAATTGTATTATTTTATATTTTTAATACACATGATTCATAACATGGTTGAATTAATACAATGCATCAATTAAACCATGATTCATAAAATATTCATACCACAGCGGAGCGGGCAAAACCACGCTTATGAACGCGCTTGCGCACCGCACGAGCCGCAGCCTCCACTTGTGCGGCCAGATCCTCTTGAACGGCAGACCGGCCGGCGCTAGCATGGCCAGGCTCGCGGGCTACGTTCACCAGCATGACCTGTTCGTGGGTTCACTCACCGTCAAGGAACATCTCATGTTCATGGTGAGTGATTTTCACTCGATCATGTTCACTCGTTTTGATAGGAATGAGTAAATTATTTAATAACCTTTTGGGTTTATTACTTCCGATAATTTATTTATCATGAAGGCGAATACTGGACCCAGAGAGTCCAGTATTTATTAAAACGTAAATACAATAAGAAAATATATTGTAATATATTATAGTGCTAGTAGTTTCGAGTTTTCGTACCACAAAATTTTCCCGGGATTTTTCTCATGAAAAATAAATGTAGTACAATAATAGGGCCAGCTTGCAGAGACTTATTCAAGTCATTGGAAATTTAAGAACGATGTTACTCTGCAAGGTTTTTATTGAGCAGATAAGTTTACGTGCATTGTTTTAAATTATAACCTCCATTTTTCCAATAATATCGGGGTTTACACTCACCGTTCTTGTCCATTTTATGCAGGCAAGGTTGCGGATGGACAAATCGTCGACCAGAGCGGACAGAGTTGGCCGAGTGACAGAGCTCATGAGGGAGCTGGGGCTCTACAAGTGCCGGCATACCAGGATCGGGGTCCCCAATGAAGACAAATCCCTGTCAGGAGGAGAGAGGAAGCGTCTGGCTTTCGCAACCGAGGTCAGTTCGACCAACTTTTAATTTCTCCCTAACGGACTTGAATAAACACTAATATTTATATGATATAAATGATTTTGTGGGGGGCAAAGTATCTACTAACCTATCAAACAACGAAAGATACGCATTTTTAAATTAGATCATTGAATATAACAGTACATTACTGCAAGTTGCGGAATGGATAATTTATTTATTTTAAATCAAATGGAAAAGTTTTGCTATTGAATTCAGATCTCTTGCGATTGTGTCCATTGTCTCATCATTTATAGAAACAATCGTAAATTATTTCCAGATCATGACAGACCCTCCGCTCCTGTTTTGCGACGAACCGACTACGGGCTTGGACGCCTACAACGCGCGTAAGCTGGTGCGCATGATGAGGGAGATGGCGGCGAGGGGCAAGGCTATAGTATGCACTATACACCAGCCCTCGTCAGACGTGTTCGCCATGTTCGACCGCGTCCTGCTGCTCGCTGAGGGGAGACTTGCCTATTGCGGCACCACTGCAGGGGCCCTCACTTTCCTTGACGGGTACATTAGATGCACACATTTATCGAATTAAATGTTTTGAATTATCAATTGTTTTCACTGATGCTTTGGCTAAATAGTAGCCGTTTATCGAATTTAACATTTTAAATGATGAATTCCCTCTGATGGAGCTATATATAAATATTGATGCAAGTCCTATGACTAACTTGGCTACATACCTCAAGTTCTAAAAAGGAATACTATTGAAAAATACTAATCTTCAGTTGGTTCTTCAGTTGGTCTACTGCTAACAGGATCCTCTTCTAATTCATACCTGTTGGGTGCATTTCCCTTCCAGATTGAAGTAAACAGTTCTGATCATACATTTCCTCTGCTTGGTAATTATTGATCAATTTAATGAAATTTATATGACGAAATATTAATTCAAGTTAGAGAAGTTATACAATCGCTTGCATCCCTCACGTTAGTCCTCCGACATAAGGCTAATTAATATACCTGCTGCCATTTATTTTCTTGTACAGTTTGGGCCACAAGTGTCCAGCTACTTTCAACCCAGCCGACTTCTTCATCCACACGCTCGCGATGCTACCGAACCACGAGAACAGCTCCAGAGCTCAGATACGAAGGATTGCTGACAACTTCGCCGTGTCGGGTAATGTCTGGACTTGCCTTCTAAAATATCTACCTTACATAAATTTTATGCATTAAAATCCTCCTCTAATTTTTCAAAAGAAAAATAAAAAATGTCCGTACAGTTTGACTTGACGATTAATAAATTAATTGAACGATTGATATATAGTAATTTTATATTAGATTATTTAAACTAGTCTATTACTATAATTATATAGGCTGAAATCAAAAGCTGATTAATTTTTTAGTGCTACCATCCTTTAGTATTTTGAAAAACTCAAATTTTTTGTGTTGACATTTCTGACACGGTACTTTCAAATGCTTCAAAATTGATAACTCGGTAATCGCATTTTGTGTACAAGAAATATTTTTTATTCCCAGAACATGCCAAAGAAATCGAACGAATCATTTCGGAACAAGAAAGCCTTCAATTCTCTCAGCAAGGAACTGAGGTGAGAAACCATTCCAATTTATCATTTTAATTTATTTTCTTCGAGCCTAAAAAACTTCGACAAACATTGTCTCGTCAAAAGACCGAACCAGAAAATTGTTGATAAAGCTCGTTTGTTGGGTTTCAATTGAACTTTGTATCGCAACTTTGTTATTCCGCGTGTTCTTTTAATAGATAAGCAGGTTTGCTTCCGCGAGAATCACTTCAGAGGAGTGCCAAAGTTTGATTGACTGCGTTTATTTCTTTGGTTTCAGTGATACGAATTTAGAATAAATGATTAGTGTATGATCAACATTTTATGTTGCCTCCGTGTATTTGAGCAAAAGACTGGGTACTCATTAAGCTTTCTCACTGCTTTGAAGAATGCTTCATATCATTTTCACTAGACTGGAAATTAGTGATTTATACGTTACGTGCTGGTAAACCTGATTATGATGAGGATAGAAAGTGAAAATTAGCTGCCCCATGATTCCATTGAGTATCAGTGCAATAAAATGTAACAATGGAAGATAGAAGGCTGCGAGGAAAGAAACGATTTAAAATACTTTTTTTAAATGAAATTTACTAAAATTATATGGAGTGATTCGCCGTACAAGTTTCGTTACCACTTCATGCAATTATCAAAATACTTGAATAAATTAATTTAGATTAGTGATACATAATCTAAAGTCTAAACGAAGAAGAGGTACGAATGTCGAAAACCTAGAACTCGGCAAGACAAACAAGTTCCAACCAAGACAGTAGGCTCCTTCATTGTCTATAGGACCAAATATTTTTTCGATTACTGGAATAAAAATACCACACTGCAGTTAGCTTTGCATTTTCGAAATGCGCTTTAAACTTCCAATTAAAATCAAATAAAATTTTTAAAAAGTTGAGAATTAAATCAAACTGAATGGTTTAATTCAAATTCCGTTTTTTTATTCTTTATAAAATGTAATTTATAATAATGAACGGTGAATATACATGGGAATATAAATCGAACGGAAAAGTAACGAAAAAGTATTGAAAATGCATTGAGATATTTATATGAAAAATGTATGACCTAGGTGCGGTAAAATTGGATACGGTGCTAATGAGTAAGATCCGAATTAACTTTCCCTATATATCTGCCTTCTGTGCACGTACAGTTCTCACGGAGGGATAAAATCGAATCCGGGTCTGTTGAACTTGTTCTGTGAAAGCGGCTAAACTCATGAAATTTGGGTCTGCATAACAGATGACAATTGTTTTAACATAAAATGGAATAGTTAGGAATAGTTAACATACCAAATAATTATTTAGGTTTGACGCCTAAATAAATTGTGAGATCCAGCTTATTTTAAGATTATTTTTCGAGCAATTCAACAGTTCGATGACATCGATCTATCCTGTTTACAGGAAACTGATGAGGTCCTTGACGGTATTCCGTAAGTAACTTCTTCACCTGGAATAAATAATTAAGAAATTTAGATGATTCGTTTTCTTTTGAATTTATTACACATTGTCGTGCCTATCGTCGTGGATCTTCAGCTACTTCAATGGAGATTGATTCATCGTTTCTCCGGCACAGGATTATTTTTCAACATAAATAATGTTGCGAAATGATGACACAAATTTGTTAACGCTTCCGAGTAAACTTTTAATGGATTTTAAATTTCTAAATTTATTTTAAACTTTCAAACTTTAAATTTAAATTGCCCTACATTCCATCATTCGAATTATCAAAGAAAAACAGTTATTGTTATTCTATCAAGAAGATAATAAGAAAAATAACAATCAATTGTTGAACGCATGTACTTCGGCAGCCAGAAGCCAGGGTGGGGAGTGCAGTTAATGCTATTGACGTGGCGAGCCTTCGTGGACTCCTACAGGAATCCCGCAATCCACACTCTCAGGATCCTGCAGAAACTTGTGGGTTCTCGACTAATATATCAAGCAAGAGCTGAAATTTCTTACTCCGGTTCAATTAATTTATTCTCTTAATTTTAATTGACTTCAATAATTTTCAACCTTGCTTGTTTTCTCACGCTTCTCTGATACTCAATTCTTGAATATTGCATAGATATCTGCGTTCTTTAACATTTTAGTCTACTTTACATTTCCATTTATGTTCTACTGATAGGTGAATTCTCACGATAATATTAGTGCATTGTGAAAATACTACGTTTTTATGTGGAAAGACAGTTTAACTTTATTTTTAATGCATATTCTTTCAGCTCATAGCTATCGTCATCGGAGTGTGTTATTCCAACATCCGGTTGGACCAGGCTGGGATTCAGAACGTTCAGGGTGTTCTCTTCACCTTCATCACAGAGAACACTTTTCCTTCCCTCTACGGAGTTCTCAACATCTTCCCACAGGTGAAGAGACATTATGAAAAAGATGACAATTTTGCTTAATATTTCGAGGAGAATAATTTGCATGTTGGTCCTGATTTAATGAAGCATTTCCGATTTATTCATTTTTTGAATTGTAAGAGATATACGTTTTATTTTTATTGCTTTCTTTTATTATAGTGTTATTTTAGATGAAATTCATTTATATTTTTAGACTGCTTAAGTCGCCTGCACCTTAAATCGAGTTAATTAACAATTTGAGAAGAATGAAAACGTCAAATAAATTCACCATATCTTAATTGAAAAATTGTCGGAGACCATCGCAATTCAAAAATTTAGACAATGCAAGCCGATGATCTCTTTTTGTGATAATTTGGCTTTACCATATGATTGCAATTGTAATCATAATTTTTTCGAACTGATGGTGGAGCTTGTCTCTGAAACGATTTCGATAACGACATGCTGAATTTGATTGTTATTTTCTTTTCTAATAATGCGTTGAAATTTACTGCAATCTGACTTAATGGTTGAAATAAATCGATTTGATAGCTACAGTGATTGATTTCTGTAATATGCTCAGGAGCTGCCGCTGTTCCTCAGGGAGCACAAGAACGGTATATATCGCTGCGACGTGTACTACGTCGCCAAGATGATCTCGCTGGTGAGACCCGAAACTTCGATTCTAGAAAATGAATGTTTCTTCAATATTATCTGTTATTATCACATTATTATTATTTATTATTAAACATATTATCAATATGTTTCAATAGCAGGACGGTGTAGCCTGAGAGCCTGTTGATGTTCGCATTTCTCATCGCACTATAGGTTCTCACCCATACCCATTCCTCTCGCTCATTGAAACTTCTTTCACTTTCCCTGCTTCCTTAACTCTCCTCAACTACTCTCACCCTTCACCACATCTCTCACCCTTCCCCACGTCTCTCACCCTTTCCCCCCTCTCTCACCCTTTCCCCCCTCTCTCACCCTTCCCCACCTCTCTCACCCTTCCCCACCTCTCTCACCCTTCCCCACCTCTCTCACCCTTCCCCACCTCTCTCACCCTTCCCCACCTCTCTCACTCTTCCCCACCTCTCACATATCCCCACCTCTCACATATCCCCACCTCTCTCACCCTTCCCCACCTCTCTCCCTGGCCCACCTCTCTCACCCTTCCCCACCTCTCTCACCCATCCCCACCTCTCTCCATTTCGTCAACTTTCTCACGCCTCCCTAATTATATATCATCACTCTAATTTTCCACCGCTATCTTCTTCCCCTCCTTCAGATCCCAGGTTTCATCGTCGACCCCGTAGTGTTCTGCTCCGTCTGCTACTGGATGGTAGGCCTTCGTAGGCCAGCCTACAGCTTCCTCATGACGGTCCTCACCATAATCTTCACTGCAAATGTCGCCTCAGCCTGCGGTCAGTGCTTTTTGCAAACAAATCAATTAAATTGCAATACTATGAAAGCGAATATATTCTTAGCTTCGTTCCTTCGAGTAACCTATATTGCTGGGGCGAAGATGATTAACCGTTGAGCAAGTTGCCAAATATGGTCACTAAAAATTTCCTTCCAAAAAAGCCCAGTTCGTCCCTTGGTTTGTGTTTGAAGCTTCATTAACATGTCTCTGCTAATCTCCAATCGTCTGTTCATTCATCCATACACATACTTTATCCCCTGCCATGCCCATGAATTAGAATATGAGCATTCAAGTTAAAGTTTTAACCAGGACACTGGAACTCGCATTTTATAACGAGTCGGAAAAAGCAATATCAACTTAATGAATTTAGAGTACTCGAAAAAATTAAATTAAATGTATCGTTGATAGTTTCCCTTTGCATTTGAATTGTTAAATTCAAGAAATTTCAATGTTATTTAGCGTAGTGATCGGCTATTTATAGAATTTTTATCTGCGACTTACTCCGATATCTTTTCCAAAAATTAAAAAAATTCATATGAGTAAATTTATGTTATTAATAACCATAATTTCTCGTAGTGGCTCCAGAAAATCAAATTCCTACATATTTCTATGCTTGCCCGCGAAAAGGTTAAAAACTTTCTTTAATCTCAACACCCTAATTAAAGTGATTTGAAGATACTCATAATTTATCCTAATCACTATCTTTATCATGAACAAACAATAAACCTTCAAAAATTAGCAATGCTTTTTATTTTCCTAAGACATTATAAAATTTCAACTGTTCAGCAAATCAATTTTTCTTACAGTGAGGCTTAACATTTTGACTTCTGGCCATGAAAAATTACCGCTCGAAACGACTTTAATAGTCGAAGCATCGAGTAATGCCCGTTCATTTCACAGGAGCGATGTTCTCTGCGATGTTCGAGAGCATCCCGTGCATTATGCTGGTGCTCATCCCGTTTGATGTTGTGCTCCTAATATCGGGAGGACTTTTCATCAATCTGAGGTGAAAATTTCCTGATATATTTTCAAACACTTTACAGGATTCCTGTGCTGATTATCTATTTGATGTCGTAGTAATTAAAATAAAATACAGATAATATCAAATTTTTTAACACAGTTGAAAATCCTGTATTTGAAGCTTAATTATTATTGTCTCGCCACAGGACAATGTCTCCATACATCAGTTGGGTGAAGTACCTCTCCTGGTTCATGTACAGCAACGAAGCACTGACAGTGACGCAGTGGAACGGTGTCACCAACATCAGTAAGTGCAGTTCAAAGAAGATTATACGTAACGCTCGGAATTATATATGTACGTGCCACGATGCTTCTAATTTACAATCTGTGGACCAATTTGGATGTTACACAACTGATGAATGTCTGATTGATAGCCTATTAAAGAGTAATACAGCAGATTTTTTATCATAGACTTTAATTGACTTGTTGATGAGTTCATGGTTGAAGTTCAACCATGGCTGAGTTACAATTTATTTTACGTCGTTTATGAATGTTTTTTGCTCAGCATGTGACGCGTCCGCAAATTTAACGTGTATCCACACGGGAGAGGAAGTGATATCGACGAACGCCTTCTCGTCATCACACGTGCCTCTGGACTTCGCATTCCTGGCAGTTTTGTATTGCGCCTTCCACGTGTTGGGTTTTCTTGGTCTCTACAACAGGACGAGAAAGTCCTAACGCGTTTCACTGAAGCTGCGATTGCAATGAAAGGATCCGAGGTAGGAGCAAGCATTCCTATGCCCGAGGACAGAAACGTTGTAGCGTGTTTAATGCAAGTTGTGGAAACAATGCAGGAAAGAAATCGTTTTTCGGGATAGATGCTGAAAAGTAATGAAATGATGAAATAAAGAATAATGTGATTCACTGCCTTATGCTAGAAAAGATAAGACTAAAAATTGTACTCTTGTGTGTGGCTGAAATGTCGTTTTCCGTCGTGACAAACGAATACTTTTGAGTGAGGAAGGTTAATACTGTTGCCGCCTTCAGATTTTGGGTGAATTTGTGTTTTATCCAATTTTAAATATGAATAATATAAGCAATTGAGCTAAGCGTCGTAAAATCTTAGTTTATTAATGTGTGTTCAAGTTTTTCTATGTTGTCTAACTTCTACAGTCTAAGCGACTTCGAGATTAAACTTTGGCATCTGAAGTATTTTTTCCGGCAGACGGTATAATGAATTCTCGATTGTTTTGAGTTTTCTTCATAATATTTCACTGGCTACGTGGACTGCATTTCAACGTTGTATTGCTTTAAGCTTTCATATGACGTCAGTTTCTTGTTGTATCTGACTATGAGTTCCATCTGGCAGCTCAGGTAGAACAGTGAGCTGAAGAGTAATAAAAGTACACTGCCTTGAAACGAAACGTATCTAAACATATTTCTATTCTCCTTTACATGCTTGAAGTTTGTCAATGTCTGAGTTTTTGTTGACCAAGAAACTTTACCCTTAAATCTGCCGTCTCAGGTAACTCAAGTTTTTAAAAGTCGGACGTATAGGGACCACTCAGCGTAAGGCCTCGAGCATAAACTGAATTTTTAAGTGTATTGAAATTCATGCAAATGCACGCACGTTTGTCTGAATAGTGACACAGAAAGCTGGAAGTATTTCTTCCTAGACAGTTTGTCGGACGATGTCGGACCAGCAGTCACCAAGGAAAGAATAAATTCAGTTCAATTAACATTTAATGTTAAGCCAATTAAATTAATAAAATCAAATAATTGACCGTAAACTATCACTCTGAATAAGAATCAATTTGAACTTCAAAGGTGAAAATCGTAGTATAAATAACACAAATCAGTTGAACGCAACTCCCGACTAAACTTAACCACTAATTAATCCTTTTAATAAAACTTGGGGTAGAAGCAACACTGGATAATGGATGTTTTATAAATTTTAAATACGAATGATCGATCGGGTTGTGCACTTGACGAAGAAAAATGACCTTTCAACTTTGATCGTTCAAAATAACTTTAACATTTTAAAATACAAGACTTTCCCTAGGACATCGCAAATAGGACATACAAAGAGCAAAATAAACCTGAATTCTGCATTAAATTTTCTGAATTGCATAACGTGGAAATAAAACTGAAGTAATTTTTAGATAAAAAAAAATCTTCCGATTAGAGTGCCACATCACTACGTTGCTCGCCAGAGTATGACGGCTCCAATCGGTAATAAATAAAGTGCCGCTTTACAATTACGCATAGTAATTTGATAAATAATACGTTATGCTTAACAAGTAATTATTCAAATGGGTACTAATAAATTTTTAAGATAATTTAGGTGCGTAAACTATACTAATGCATGGCGCCTGCGATTGCTGAGATAACACAACGATATCAACATCAGTTTGCTCATTAACAAATTACTAAATATGATTAAAGCCATTATTTAATTCTGGGACAATTGAAGCGCTGAACATGATCGTTCGTAATCACGTCGACTTATGAGAAGGAGAACCAAGAAAAGAAATTGAATTGTTTAAGCAAATTCCAGCTACTTGCCTTAAATTTAATTCAAAATTATGAACTCAATTCAATCAAAAATTAATTCAAATTTAACCGGGTATAACTATCCTTGAATTATGGACATTAAGATATTCACGCCGGCACGTCGACAAATATGCATAGTAAATCACTGCCTTGAATGAACCCATTCCATTTGGCAAGCCTTCAGTCTTCTTAAAAATGAGCCAAATGTGAACATGGGAAATTCTCTAATTAGATTTTATGTGTGGGGAAGTATTTCAACAGTCTTCGCACTAGGTTCGTCGCGATAAATAATAATCCTATAGAACTACAGGGCAACATTCAACAAAATAAATAAAACTTAAGAATAGATGCATCCCTTTACGACCCGAGCTTTCACGCAGACTCTACAATAATAAAAGAGCGATGCAAAAAAGTCACAGGACTAGCACCAAGCCACCCGCATTCTAACCCTCAATCATAGTTACTGCACACTATAAAAAGCATCATTTAAAAAGTAATTAATATATAACATCAAATTTTTACGAAGAACGAGGCCTCAGAGATGTGATAACCCCGCAGTGCTGCAAGTATAGCCCTCGAGCATACTCGGAGAAAAAAAAATTTCTCGAATTTTTTAGAACTGTATAAAAAAATTCTACATTCTGCCAGCCAAATATCGATTACAATTAACAGGCATTCGTTGAATCAACGTCACGTGATACGACGAAATTATATTCGCGTTGGTAATACTTATCATATTACATTAGATACTCAAAAAAAATTGCAGTATTCACGTACATAGAAAGATTATCAAATGGCGAATCAACAGATATGAACGAGTATTACGGTATAAACGGCCAAGCAAAAACTGCAGCACTTGAGAGAATCTGAAAGTATCTAATTCTAATTCACACACCATTTTTCCCCGTGCCACAAGACTTCGGAAGAATCATTTACAGAAATGTATATCTAAACTTAATTCAAATATTTTAACCCACATAGAATAACCCACTAGGGTCACAGCATCGTGTGACCCTAGTGAAGTCACAGTGAACGATCGCGAAAAAAAATCTGATATTGGATGCCTCGCATAGATTCCAACTAAGGATGAATATAAAAATGTGAAGGGCTCAGCAAATAGGAACAAAACATCTAAGATAGTCAAATGGGCCTAAGCAAGGAGGCTTTAATTGACTTGGATTAGGAACCGCTTACCATATTATTTCTAACGATAACGTACTCTACAAATCAACAAGCCTTAAAACGAATCCAAATGTCGTACCAGAAGAAACAACAGAAGCAGCAGCAGTAGCAATTTACATAACTTCTGCAGTAATACTGCACTTAAATAGTACGGTATCTATGAGACGCACAACGCTTGTAGTGTGCTCATCTTGAACTCTCTACAAAAGCGTGCTAATTTCTACAACCATAATATAAAACCATTAGATTGTAGGAGCCCTATATAAAAGTATAAAATTAGCACAAGTATTGACAGTCCTGATAACTTGAAAGATTTATCTACAACAGGTTATTCACTACACATACGTAACGGAAAACAAAGGATACCAAGCGACCAGGGATCAACTTTCAACCAACACGCCGATGAATTTCATAAGACTCGCAGCAAAGGCGTGTCAGTAACGCGCTGTGCTCATGTCTTTCCGAACAGAATTAAAACTTCACCTGTCATATTTCATTGCGACAAGAAAATTAAAATAAAAAATTTTGAGTCGAACGAGCAGTCGAGCTACAAAGCATAGCCTATAGACGCGAGTTTTGAAATGCCTACCTTAGGATTGACACCGTGTATTCTGGACAGCTAAAAGGGTTTTATGAGGAATTAATAGAGGAAAATTTTCCAGTACCAAAAAGGAAAAATTTTACGATACAAATATCGTGTTTTTCGACATAAGAAAATTCAATGTCACGAAACCCAAATAAGCAGCGTTTACTTCCACCAGGCGTAGAAGAATGTTGCAGGCAAGCATCACAGATTCAATGTGAGACTGTGTTCACCTATTTCAGGCACGTCTATTTGGAAACAGTAATGACTTCTAAATCATAGAGTTCGATTTTTGCTCGTTCGTAGTTAGATTTTACAATATTGGCTAAGCATGGGCAAAATAACATCCCGTACCAGACATCGACATTAAGAATCTAAGGCGAATGCCTCGCAACTTTATAATCAAATTTAATAATAAACTAAAATCATCCTGCATCAATGGCTGAACGCAAAATGAGGCAGTAGCTCTACAAACCTATCTACGCCTGAATAAATTCGTGATACCGATAAGGCATGAACAACATGATCGAAGTTAATTCAGATAAAAGTGACTCCGTCGCGCTCTGGTCTTGACTATAATAGAGCGCAGGAATGTATGATGATCGTAGTAGTCGTGACAAGATGCAGGTAAATCATTACCTTGAGATTACCTAAAATAAACAAGATGATCGTACTTGATTCCCAATAAAAATTAAATTACCTCGTCAAATATCTCCATCTTGAGTGCTGTGAAAAGACTTTATATTGAAGCCTACGTCAACAAATTCAAATTTTGATACAGCTTTAGCGCTTGCATTTCCATTGAATTTACGATTAGTCTTCATAATTATGTCACATAATATACACAATATCATCCGTTTCAAAAATTACAACGACCGAAACCCGAGATTAAAATTCAGATTCAGGGGCAATTACTATGAGAACATATGCATAACTGTAAACTCTCACACATTTCAAATGATGGCAGCACAAACTCAGAAATACCCGGCAATACATCATCAAACTAACTGTATATACTCATAGATAACCCGTAAAAGTTATAACATATCAGATATTTTCCGGGGCGTCATCGAGCGGCTGATCCCCTTCATCGTCCGTAGATAGTCCATCATAGTCAGAGAGCGACTGATCGGCACCCGCGTAGCTCTCCAGTGTGAGCTGCCGCGTCAGCAACACGATGCCTCCCCCAGCCATCGCAGCCTCCTCCAACAGGCGTTCGTTTGCGGCAGTATCAACAGAGTTAGACGTTGCAGTTGTATGGTACTCAGAGTAAGGGAAACTGTCCCCGGTGATGGTGTTTGAAGTAGAGGTGCTTGCAGACGTTTTAGTTTCGCCTTCACGCAACGAAGAATCAGTGTCATTGTCGGCTTTTATTTGCGTACCATGCGGATGGCTTGTGCTATTTTCTGTACCTAGAGTTGTATTCAGAACGGAGATATCAACTTCTCTGAGAGCGTTATTGACTCCGGTTATGGATCCTAAACTTCCTTTTTCGCATCCCTGAAACCGTTTAAATGCTCTTGACTTACCAACATCTTTAGGAGTCATAGGACCGAGATAATCCTTACGCGGTTCTGAGGCCTGATCGCGTAACTCGGACGCGACTGGAAGTTGGTCGTCCGTACGCACCGAGATATTGACACGCTTCAACAGGCATTCAGCTTCTTCGAACACCTGCAAATTACTTTAATTAGTACTAGCAATTTTGATTTCATTAGTAAAACACCAATGCAATTAAAATTACAAGCAGATAACAAAATGGAATCATGCAATGAATAAAAAAAATATATAAACAAAAGCTGTCATAGTTATGAAAAAAACTTGTCAAACCAAGAATCCTCAAAATTGGAGCGAACTTTGAAATTGGATAAAATGTCTTCACACAACTTGAAACATAATCTGTAATATTGTTTGAACAAAAGCCTGACTATTTTTGCATTTGTACGAGATTTTTATTGGAATTTAGAAGGAATTAAATGCTTTTGATCGATGACGATCATACCTCAGAAAAAGAAACATCCTGGAAAATGTCCTGCAGGAAATGCCGGGCGGCGAGGCTGTAAGATCGCGAGCTGAGGAGCTGCATCGCCTCGGAATACATGCACACGTCCTTGAAAGCTTCAGGCCAACGTTGCTTTAGGGACAGCAAGCCTGACCAAAGTGTGGCAAACACTGATGACTTGAGCGAGTTAAAAAACATTAAAATGCAATCATTCAGACTAGCATTCGTTTTCTTCCGGTAATAGAGCTTATAAGCCTTTAAAAATCTCATTTGAATAATTTTGTTATGGCCATCAATTACACTGGCCATAAACATCGTCGATTAGAAAATTGTGAAAAAATCCTGTACGAAGCAACACACATTATGTTACTTCATCGTACCAAACAACATTATTGAATGTGAAAATAATGGAATAATTACAAATACATCATTGACATAATACTATACACTAGTGAAATAAAATTCTCACCAGCCTCGGAGCCCTTGGCAGTGAGTGGACAAGCAAGACGAGTGATGAGGCGCACCATTTCCTTCCTGACGAGGACCCTGCTGGGATCAGAGCGAGCACCATCACCACCAGACGACACCATGTTCGGAACGCCCTCCCACTTCTCCATGGGCGTCTCAGGACGAGAGGTGCCGTCCATGCCTGATGGTCTCAGGCAACCTAATAGGGCACCGACTCCCGACAGCGGGGTGTTACTAGGCTCGGTGCTTATCTGCTCAAAGTTTGTGAATTTGAAGATCCAATAAAGAAACAATATTCTTTGGCTACTGCTACAACTAACTTCAGTCACCATCAACCGAAAAATTTTCAAAAAATACTTCAAATTGTACGATAAAAAAATTTTGAGGTTGAAAAATATAGAAAGCAGTAGACGGCCATGACATATTCACGTGAGCATTCAATTTCTCACTGAAAATATGAAAGTACGCTATATCCGTACGAGTACTGTAGCTGCTACAATTCTTCATTCACATACTCGAAAGAGACAACAAATATAACTACAGATCTGACTACCAGACCTCCACACGTCACACATTTACTGCTGGTAAGCTCGAAGCAACAGGCCAACAGAAAACGTCATATCAACATCCAATTCACACCAGTGGTCTGACGTGAAAGGATAAGTAACAATAAAATATCATCAGCTCAAAAAGATGGGATCGACAGGGAAGAATATACTAACTAGCTCTTTTCAGTTTAGCAGTAACAACTGAAATACGAAATTGACTCGCACCACTTCAGTTGGCTGGGCAATTTCCTGTCTATTGCAGAGGGAGAAGCAGCCGAGACACGTGGCTTTGGAGTGCAGGGACAAGCCAGTGTCTGTGACGGTGTCGAGCGACTCTGAAGTGCATTCTCCACTTGCAGTTGACGCTAATGTTGTCTTGTTTGTTGCAGCCGTAGATGTGGAGCTGCCACCGTCTGGAGAAAAAAAAAATAATTTTAATGATTAAATCAATTATGAACAGTCCTTTGATGAAATATATAACACTACTAAAACTGTCATCAATTTGTCAATGCAGCCTGCAAAGAAACAACTTGTCTCATAACATGCACTAATCACACTGAACTGATAGACAAGTTTTGTATACATTACTTTGGATCTAAATTAAATTACAGGAGCATTAAAACTAACCGGCCGAGTTAAAACTTTCTTCCCGGACAGTTTCAAGCCTTTTTTCAACTTCGCTTTCTTTTTTGCAGCCGGCCGCAGATTCTCCGTCACCTTTCTTATCAACCTCTCTCGATTTCATTCCGCTTTCTTCATCTCTTTCCGATTTACGGAGCCGATTTTCATCAGGTACACGAGTCGGGTCGCCGTCGTCAATTTCTGGCTTATTCCAATGTCCTCGGGTGTCCAACAATAAGTTCAAGTCTAGAGGCAAACAAAGTCCCAGGTATCGCTGACCACCACAAAATTCTGCTGAACCTGGTGAATCATGACCCCTTGGTCTGTGATCCGAAACTTCGCAAACAGTTGCTGCTGTGCTACCATCCAGGGAGTACGAATGCCTGCCTTCAACGTTGCACTCATCTGAAGTAACAGTATGCTCGGCATCGGCGAACTTGAGGGTGGAGGCTACACAAGCTTTGCACGTTCCTCCGCACATTTCCTGCGAATGAGAGTCCCCTGGCGTGACGGCACTGTCAGAATGCGAGTGAACGCTGCAATGAGGCGCATTCGGGCCGCTGTATGCGCTGCTTACGGCCATTAAAGAATGGCAGTGACACTGTCTTGAGTGCGTACCACAAGCGCCACTAGAAACCAGATGGACACTCAATGAACCGCTAGATGAAATCTTGCTCAGGCCCGATGCTGTGCGAGGAAATCCGCGACTGTTTTCTGCTCCCGAAACGCGGAAACTGAAAAAAAATCAAATGCATTTTTAATTTGTTGATCAACTATTCATCAGCTTTACTCTAACGCACTGATTGATTTTTATTGCATATCTACTTACTGGCTGACGTGATCTGCTGGAGGAGGGAAGAGCATGGCAAGATGCTGACGTTTCTTCTGCTGTTGCTCCTGTTCGCTTTCTGACGCAGTACGCCGTTGCTCACTCATGGCCAGCAGTAATTGGCATCCTTGGAGCGACACTCGTGAGGGCACCGAGACCATCGAGCTCTGCGAAGCAGTTCTCGGGAAGCAATTGTCCACTTCTGAAAGTGGCTTCATGGTCGTAGGAGAGATTTGTGAGGGTAAACCACATTGACAGTGGACATGAGGAAGATGGAAAAACTGACGAGGAGACGACGGAGAAATACAGTCTGGTGAGTTTTTACTCTCTTTCCTTGTCGCTAATCCATGACTGTTTCGCCAGCATTGGAGGTGCGGAACATTGACGCCAAGCCTCACACGGGCATCAAGGCACGTAGGTGAAGACGGGCCATTCCTGAAACACAAGTACTCAAAGGATGACAAGATCTAACTAAAATTAATTAATGAATATAAAGATTATTCAATGGCTAACTTCATAAGGATTACCGGTATATATTTGAATCCTACATCATGTAATGAAAACAAATTGGTTGAGGAATTCAACAGAAATACTGAAAAAAAAAGTATTGGCCACACTCGAAAAAATTGTGACACTTAAAATGTAAGCATTTGCACATATCTTATTCACGTACCCGATTCCTTCCGAATGGCAAGCGATGTCCTTTGCACTGATATTCCGATGTACCATTTGTGATTCAGTCTGAGGTTGGAGTTCATGAACAGACGTTGGTGATCCCAAACCTTCAGGTAAGCATGGCTGATTTACCAATTGATCTGACCCCACTGAATCGCAGGCATTTGAAAGCGACGAGACATTGCTAGAGGGCGTTGGATTACATGAATATTGATTCAAAACCTCAAAGCGAGAAAGCGGGCTTGTCACATGGCAAGTTGGCGAGAGAGACTGACAAGACTGGCAAGTCTGAGCAGCACATTGGCAATTATGAAGCAGCGACGGTCCTGTAGTGGGCGTGGTTGCACATGTCGATTGCAGGTTTCTGGATTGGTTTTGGCCAAACATAGAACTGGAATAGGCAGGCAAAAATGGGTTGTCCAATTGAGAGCCTGGAGAGACTGGCGGAGAAGGAGAAGAATCAAAAGGGTATGATATGTTCTGCGATGAACCACTGCTGTTATATGATGCCTGACGTTTTCGGGATCTGAAATACACAAACTCAGTCAGTAGTTGAAAGTTCCATATGAAATATCAGCTTACAACATCTTAAAATAATGCGAGTAAAGCATAAAAACATAGCAACAATCAGTTAGTCATCTTGTAGCTAGTATGGACTATGGAGTCGGAAAGACGCGAGAAATCATAGAATGACTTCGATTGAAAAACATATGGACCACACCTGCAAGCTTCTATCTATCTTCCATCTACCTATAACTCAACACTTAAAAAAAATTCGAGCACAATCACACTCACTTTTTCGTTTTCATAGACGACAAGATTTTGTTTTTGAGTCTCAAAGAGCCACGCCGAACCCAGGCCTTAGCAATGCTGCCACTGAGAGGAGGCAAACCAAGCTCCTGGGTATCATTAGTTAACTCGAGCTCTGGAAGCGGACGAGCCTCGCTGGTCGCGGTCGTGTTTTGTTCCTCCGCGACGGGCGCGCAGTCAGACAGGGAACGTTGGTGTGATATGATGCCGGTGCCACCGCCCGAACCGCCGCGCATTTGGTTCGGGAGGGTCTACAAAAAAGGCGGCACTATGAAAATATGATTAATTGGTAATCGTTTCTATACTTTAACGGATTCAAAGCCAGTCTACCAAAATCATACCTAAAATTACATGGATCACTTCAATACTGAGCAGTATCCTTCACCTGAGCCTTCCTGTGATGAGCAGCTAGAGTAGAGTCGAGGCCAATGCCCTGAACTACAATGCTTTCGTCGCTGTCAGAGGAGCCGTCGTCGTCACTCTCACCAGGTACATAGAAGCCCGACCTGATGCGGGCAACGCGCTTACTGAGTAACCCACAGGCGAGAAGAAACACAAAAATCACAGAAACACAAAAATATAACAGAGAAGATAAAAAATCATGTTAGATAATAATATAAACAAATCAGTAAATTTAAATAACATGAAATAATGATTAAATAAAAAAAAACATTGAGATGGACAAACTCGTAAGAAATTAGGTGCCAGAAAAACAATTCAGAAAGAAACAAAAGTAATCAGTTAAGCAATTGAAGACAGACAAACTCAAGACATGGAGATTTCAATTATAAATTATCTACAGTAAAATACATCAAATATCCCTAGATTGGGAAAAATGCAATTATAAATGATCACCTGGGGGCATGACCAATATAGTTGTCGTCGTTGAGTGCGGTGAAGTAAGGAGCTGCAGTGCTACGGAACTGATGAGCTGCTGGCTGGTGGTGATGGCATGGCAGGTCGTGCAATGGGTGCAGGTTAGACTGCCACCTCTGATGATGATCACGGACCACACTTTCCCAACCTGACATGCATTGTACAGATTTAATAACATGACAAGTGGCAAGTTTGTTGCGACTCTCATAATAGTGATTATACATAGAAGAGACACCAAAATATATTTAACGCTAGGTGACAGTTTTGAAGAACTCAATGAGGAACTATAAAAATCAACGTTGTTTAAAATTTTCGTTGGGATAGAGACAGTGAAAATTTCAGACTGTGATTGATGAACTGTTTACAACTGAAATTAAATTCTCTAGATTTCCCGAATAATGATACGCGCATATTTACTCATGATTATTATAACGATGATAACTCACCACACTCGCGCAAGAAGATAACTCCCTGCTGTGTAGTAGCGACGAGACACAGAGCCATGCAGCAGGCACCACGCACGCTGTACACGAGGCAGTGACGAGCCAAGCGAATGATGGCACTGAGAGCGCCACAGCGTCTCATGTGCATGATGCCGGCACTGCTGCTTCCCGCGTGGCACACGGCCCACACAGCAGCCTTCAATTCGGTGATGCTCTTTGCTGTGTCACATCGACCTACCTTGATAAGCTGGAACAAAATGCAACTATATTAATTAAACCCGAAGAAGAATCGTAATGGCAAAATTTAATTTAAAAAAACGCTACCGCTGGGCCAGAACAAAGGCTCAATAATAGGGGCCTAGTTCGATGACATGGAAAACTGACTGTGAGGATTCTTGAAATCCTTATCATAAACTGACTTTAATTCGCAGATCAAACACGAATGACATTAAAAAAGTGGTCGCCTAGATTGATGTAAAAATTTAAAGGTACTCCAAACAAAAAATTCGGCTCGGCACGCGCGTCTGGAAGTCTCACTTCAATCATGTCACTGAGCGCACGGCTGCTGAGAACTTTCTGAAGTCCTTTTGAGTGCTGCACGAGTGAGCCGTACAGGTGCGGGTACACAAACACACTCTGCACTGGCAGCGGGGCACTTGACCTGCGTCCGTAGCGACCGTTTTCATCACGTCTGTGCTCAGTGAGAGCCTCGCACAGAGCGCTCTCTTGCATCTGAACGTAGCTGCAGGGAAAATAGGAACGGATTCAATAACTGGAACCTTCCAGTCTGCAACTAAACTAAAGCTGAAGGCTAAGAAAAATGTACCAATAAAGCTCTGATTTGTACTACGTATAAAAAAGATAAATACTAATACAAAATTTTCATTGAATGCTAAAAAAAGCAACAATAAACTTCCGGTTTGCTATTGCATATGAAATACGCGAAATACAAACAAGCATAAATGGAGACCAATAAAAATTTATAGTAAAACCAGTAACTAAATGAAAAAATAGAACTCAGTACTCACTGCAGTGAGTGACAAAGAGCGCATTTTCTCGTCGACGAAAACTTGAGGTCACGGACGGACGGACGGACGGACGGACAGACAGACAGACGGACACGGCGAGTACAATAGTGCATTTTTTCCATAAATGAGAAAATGCACTAATAAATGATTTCAATCACGTGAGTCTTTTAGGACAGCAAAAAACAAAAACAAGTGGCAAGTTTCATTGTATTCATTAGAAATATTTTCTCACCAGACATTAAACGAACGTTCCCAGTGCAAAAGAATTGGGTCCAGGAGTTCGCATGAGACGTAAGCATTGTAAGCCACCGGCACCCGCAGCAGGCGGGCTGTGAGCAAGTGGACGTGATGACCAAGACTGGGAGGTAGGACAGGCGGAGACCTGGCCAAGCTGTGTAGGATGTGTGTAACTTCCGTCACCTCATAGAGCGTCGAGATGGCCAGCAGCACAACCTGCAACATCAGTATGCTCGTCACATACCGAGTGAAAACTGCACGCGACATACACTCGCAATACTCAATATGAAAATTCATCCTTATGTTTTTGAACCTCCCACACTAAAACTCTTGGACCAACGTTCCCACAAACATTGGAACATCCTGTCATCAAGTTCAGCTTGAGGAAGTAGGAGTTGCCTGACAGAGCATAACCTAGATAACCGTAACAAGTATAGGAAGAGCGACACGACAATTTACTACTAAACAATTAATTCATAAATGCAGACGTTTGCCGAATCTCATCATGGATCTCAGCATCACAACTAGAGAAAAACTAAAAAACATAAGCATTACAAATCAATCGAGAAATCATTCTGGATTATTCATTTTTAAAAATAATTTTACTAATGTGACCAAGGCAAATCCAAAGTATTGGGAGAATCAACCATTATGCAGCCTCCCTGGTTGTAGGTGTGCCGGGAATATACGACAGTCAATGCAACTTTACAGCTCATAAAGATTTTCAAATAATATTCGCCACTAGAAAAATAAAAGAGCATAGAATGAGCAAAGAAAAATCTGACCTGCGGACTGGGATCAGAGAGCTGCTGCAGGAGATGATGCAGGAGGAAGCGACAAGTGACGGAACAAGAAGTGGTGTGCAGCAGAGCACGCAACAACGATGTGCCGTACGCGCGACAGTTTTCACTGATCTCGTTGTCATGCAGCACCGTTGACAGAATTTTACTGGTAGAATACAGTAATTTTAGTTAACAATGTATATAAATAATAATGTAGCTTTATGTAAAAAAAATAGTGAGAAACATTGATATTTCGAATCAACTACTTTCCAAACTAATTAATTATCAACCAGCAGCAAATATATGTTTCCATTTCTACAAAACATAGAAATTAAATGCAAGACTTAACCAACCGGTTGATGCCATCAATGGAGTAGGCGAGCGAGGAGATGATGAGTTTACTGTAGACCTCAGACGATGCCCGGCTGGTGACAACGCAGAGCAGCTGTTCAAACACTCCAGACTGGTCTAGCATGGCGTGACCTCGTGATGATCGAGACAAAACACCCACCTGAATGTCAATAAAAAACAATAATTTAGAACAATTGATATTATTATGAAATGGATGAAATTGAGTTTAAAAGTTCTGGCATAGAGCGCGAAATGTTATATTACTACACAGCGAGAAAGTACCAGTGTAATATTTATACATAGAACAAGGAAGTACTAAAGGGTAATTTATACACCCAAGTTAGTAGAGTAAAAGGTAATACCGTATGTACCGCGAGGAAGTAGCAGAGAGGAATATTTATACACTACAAGGTAGTAGCAAAGGGTAATATGTACCGCGAGGAAGAAGTAGAGAGTAATATTTATACACTAAAAGGTAATAGCAAAGGGTAATATGTACCGCGAGGAAGAAGTAGAGAGTAATATTTATACACTAAAAGGTAATAGCAAAGGGTAATATGTACCGCGAGGAATAGCAGAGTAATATTTATACACTACAAAGTAGTAGCAAATGGTAGTATGTACCGCGAGGAAATAGTAGTGAGAGCAGGTACTGGCGAGAGCTCCTTGTGAGAGCAGCAGATCAGGCGCCGGGTGCTGCACGGACACCGCCTTTAGGTGGGTATGAATATCCATCAGCAGCTCCTCCAGATGACGACCATTGTCATTCTGAAAAATACAAGAATATCAGTGACAAGCTCAGTAGGTAGTAAATTTTTAGACGCAATTTATATATGTAAAAAAATTCGCATGTTCTTTGTTTCGATAAAAAAAAGACAGAGAATGGGTGTATAGCATACACAGCTGTCATAGAACTGCCATTAATGTCACATACTTTGCCACAGTACTTATACCGCCAGCCTTTAAAAGAAGCGATCTATTTTGTTAAAAGAACTAAGCCACAACTTTAAAGCGCGATCGAAAAAGCTTTTAAATTATTATGTGCAATTGAAACCTACAAATCGTAATGCTGAACAGTACTATATATTCTTTACTTAACAAGCAACGAGTCAAGGACAGTAGCTGCTGAGTAGCGACATATGTGTCATTGATGAAATGTTATCAAGCTGACAGGTGAAAAGCGTAAACCATTCACCTCAGGAACCTGGAGCAAGAAGTGCATCAAGAGCATGAGCGTCTCAGCCTCTATCCTGGCGTTTGGATGGTCAGCGGGCGTCTTGCTGAAGAGATCAGCTGACGGTTTGTAGAAGTGTACCAGTCGCTTCACAAACAGACGGTATGTGTTGTTACCGATGCGCTGAAGCTGGTCACTGGGCCACTGAATTGAAATAAGAAGTGAGCAATCGACAACTATCCCATCAAACATCTAATGCTGAATCAATATTGAATTAAACATTTTTTGGTTTAATGGGCAGCAATTCAGTGCGGTTTCAAAGTCATTTGCCTATGGGGAAGATTGGAATCGTGAGATCTTGACCAGCCTGCACGAGTTTTCACCCATGAAATGTGGCTTTCATTCCAATCGTGAGAATGAGAATGCAGATGCACGTTTAGGTTATAAATCAGGAAATGCAAAGGCGCAATGAGCACCCACACGCTAATCATCCTTAGTATTACTTCTGAATATTTACCACCTATCATAAGCAATCATTTTATTCTCTATGATGTAATACCAAAGCAAAATTCAAATTAAAGGTATAGTGAAGAAATATTAATAATAAGCTACCCTGAGAAGCGTCATTATGTGATCCCACTGCCAGTTGTGGTGGTTATGTCCCAGCGTGAGGACGTGTGAGCGCTTCATGGCTCGCTGCACCAGCTCCTCCTGCTCACTGCCGCTGCTGCTCAGCCACTGCACATACAGATGTTCATAAAACAGGGTAAAGATTGTCGAAAACAGGGTAAAAATATTCATAAAATAAGGGAAAGATTTTCGTAAACAGAACAAATGAGTTTTTATAACAGAGAAAACATCATAGGCAATATAAGAATGGACTGGGATGGAGTAATGACTATATGAATATACATAAGGATATATCTTACTATATTATTAAGATTTCACATTTTTAATCAAGATGCAAATATAAAACAATTTTCCCTTCAACAAAAAGTTACTGAACCTAGTAAGTTATTTCCCAATTTCAAAAGGTAAACCTTCAAAATCCTCCAGACCAAATTTTAATTGCTGCTTAATACAATATTCATGCAACATAATTATACCATATTAACCTTGCTCGATCTTGAGATATCATTGACTGATGTCACAGCAATTTTTTTGCGTGAAAAAGATGCTTGGAATGCTCCACTTTCATCGAACATACTCGTCGGAAAGCCACTGTAGGGTACAGCATGACTTGAACTGTTATTAGAGAAGGGCATCATATTCAACAGATGTGCCATGTATAACGAGTGTTGAGGTGGTAAAGCTGGCGGGTTGAGTCGTCCTCGCGACAGCTTCAAGAGAGCATTGATGGCCGTGCAAGCTCGGGCGCGACGCTGGGCCTGAGTCATCTTGGCCGTAGCTGCGTTGACGATACTCGTCGTGGTGGGGATACTGAAAGGATTGGGAGATTCCAAGTCCTGAGCTAAAGCATAGTTGTAATTTCTGGTGTCAGCGTCACGCGAACTGCTTAGCAATTTAATATCGTCAAATAATAAGGACGATCGAACGTCAATGTTGCTCTCGGTAATATCCCGGCTGAAGACACCTTCTGCCTCTCGGAATAGGTCCACGTTGACGGCAGGGTTGCTGCTGTGCACGTTCGTCAAGGTTGTAACAGCAACGCGCCTTTCTTTGACGCCATTAGGGTTGGATACAAGTGAATTCACGTATGAGTAATTAGTGGCAGCTTGATTCATGAGCTCAGGCAGAGCGTGAGTAAGCTGACTGCACTCCACTGGCAGATCTTGGTGAGCGAGGTGAACCAACTCTCCTGAAACATCAAGGATAGAAGAAATTGAATTCAAGGATTCATAAAAGATATTATATTGATCAGCAACAATTGTTGCAGCCAGCCTCCAAAATACTTCATTGTACAAATATATACATAAGTTGTGACATGAACTGACCAAGAAGCACTGTGGCTCTCAATGCTAGTGCTGACGGTGAATTGATGACCACGTGACAGAGAGCTGACAGTAAGTTGGCCTTGATGAGCATGTACAGCACCAAAGACTGCTGAAGCTGCACCAAATTAGGTCTGGAACATACAGCAGCAAAATTAGCACAATTTTAAATCAGTCTTATCCTTCATAAAATCCTTAATGTAACTAATACGTTTTGTCAAACCTTGAAAGTACACAATGCATTCATCAAAAGCTACTGGTAGGATGTAACTCATCAATGACACTGAGGTTGAGACAACAGACAAAACAACACTGAAAATTTATTTTAAGTGATAATGACCTGCACTTCGGAAGCTGTGGCAACGTGTAGCGGATCTCAGCAGCCACAAATCCGTAGGAGAGATTCCATCCGTCAGGGTCTAGTTTAGGGGAGTTGAGATGCGCAGCCACCGCAGAGTCCCATTGTTGACATTCCTCACCACTAGGCCCGCTGCGGGTGCCGCTCTTGTCGCGAGATCTGGCAGGAGTATCAGTGTTCTTCCTCCTGCCACCACGTGGACACTCACTTATGCCAAAGAACTCGTAGAGCACGTTGATGATGGCAATCTGTGGCATCGTATACAATTTAATCAATTTGATTGCTTAATTGAAGATTACCTTAGGAAGCTACAATTCATTTAACTGTTAATAATACTGATGATAGTTACAGTAACTGAAAACATTCAGTTGGTGATATTTCTGAAGAAATCGTTTCATTATTATTAATAATAACATAAAGTGGAAATTTAGCATCTGAGTTCTCATAAGGATGATTGGCATATCGAAAAGAGGTCCTATGACATTTCTTCCATATAGGTATCTCTTCATGCCATCATGAACTGTCTATACCAAATAGTGTACCTAAGTAACCTAACATACTAACACTGAATAACAGCGTCAAAAAATATTGCTATATGAATAACATTACTAGCATAAATAAGTGAAAGAATGAAAAGTATGATCACAGATTAAAAACGATCATAAAGAGAGTACATAGGACTAACAGTGGTGACGAGATGTGATGTGTAGGCGAGCTGTGCAGTGAGGCTGCGCACAGCACTCAGGTTGTCTTTGGCCAGCAGCAGCACCCCAGGCCACGACCGCAGAAGCAGCAGCAATGACGTCCGTGCAGTCACTAACCGCAGTTCTCGTTCATCACTGTGAATGCATGTAAGGTTTCGAACGTGGTGCCTGATTTTTAGCTCGACACCAATTACTTGGTCAAATCCTCTCTACTTTTAGGGCTTGAATCATTTCAATAGTTCATAAACCACACAGATACCTTCCTGCTTGAAATTTTCTAAAATTCTCTCGGGAAAATTTGTACCTAGACAAAACAAGTATTGGTAGGTACTCCAGATGAAGGCTTGAAATTAAAAAGAGTAAGAGATGACATCTGTACTGGGTAAAAAAGCGTGCCAACTAGAGAAATGCATGTGAATATCACAGATAAATGAATCAAGCAATTTGACTAGTTGAGCAAGACATGGTCAGCTACAAATAGTTAATGTCTTACAGTTGTACGAGTCGTCTCAGCGCATATTTTACGAGTATTCTTCTTCTTCAACAGGCAGGAGAAAATTTTTTCAGGAGACAAGGTGCTGCCGTATTGTGTACCTGTGTTAAACACCACCTCTGCTTCTTGGTCGTATTGCAGCAAATAACTTCTTCCCGCGGCCTGCAACTCCTCAAATCCGGGCCATTTGTAGTAATTGAGCAAAATTAAGTTACCTCACAACCAAGAACTTTTTGCATCATGGCCGTTTGTATTAATGAAACAAAAGTACTTTCACGATGAGGCAAACAAAATTTTATACCACGACCGTGTGTAGATGGCGGTTATAGTTGCTGGATTTTCCTGAAACTACTGCTGGTCTTGCGATTTTTGGTATAACATTCGCTACCGGTATGTAACGCTTACCGGTATGTAAGTGTTCCATGTAACACGGTCCTATTAGGTTGTAGAAGGGAAGTTTGTGATATTAGTAGTCACTTTTCAGTAAGTTTTTACTTCCATAATAGTAACTGTCGAACAGCTTCGCCTGATGTATTATGACACTGCCTTCAGGCCCTAGGTACCGTTCCTAGTAGAGGCCGTAGCTCACATCCCACCTAGCTTCAAACAAACCCTGTGGGTTGTGGGTTTAAAGGTTCGATAAAACATGTTTCGTAAGCTTTCCCGCGCACTGCTATCATGGGTCGTAGTAGTTTATGCCATTAAGCCTGCTTACTCTACAGAAACTTCTTTTTGCAGTAGGTATTGAATAAGCTTCTATCCTTCATTAATTTGTTATGTTGATTCCATTTGCTGCTTCCTGAACACTCTCATCTTCAGCATTATTTATTCATTCTATCTAAAATACTATTCTAGGTCATCTCGAGTCTTGTATCCACAATCCACATATCAGATCCACATCATAAGCGGGATATCTGGATAAAGGGGAACAAAGCAAGCCAAGAAAATGCATAACTTCTGAAACCTTTGACATTGAGAAGCTACAGGGAAATTGGGATTTGACAGGTAACTATACTAGATTTATGTGAATAAGTGTCGACAAATCGATTTTTAAAAAATTTGTTGACATGAACATGGAAGTTATGTGTAGAAAAAATTTGATTGAGAAAACATTGAGAGAGAATACAAAACAAAAATAAAGAAAACATTTTACAAAATGTATTTACAACAAACAAAAATAGAAAAAACATTGAATTCATAACGAGAAAAAATTCATGTGAAACTGAAATTTTGTCCATGTGATAGAGCCCCGCACCTGTTAGAGATACCATGATCGAGGTCGTAGGTAGTGTGCTTGTAGTGGTAGTCGGTGTAGGGCGCTATGACCTGCAGGAGGTAAGCCGTGTGGTGGCGATAACGTGGCGAGTTTGTGATCCATAGGAGAGATGCAAGCACCGCCTCGTGTATGCGAGGAACGCTGCTGCATTCCAGCAGGCTTTGCTGCAGCGGAGCTACAGCTCCACATGATAAACTCGTCTCGGTATGCACCAAAACTGCACACACACACATATTTTAGAATGCAGTTACTTGCTTACAAACTACAAAAAAATACACAATTTAATTTTATTCAGCACAGTTCAAATGGGATGTCCAGTCTAACATAAAACTGCACAAACAGTTAATGAACAGTAGAAACTCTATTCAAACTTCAAAAATAACTGAAAACAGACCCAAATAAAGTTCGTTATGTACACACATATTTTTCTAGAACTGTGGACATTTTTTTCTGCTGGACTATATAATTCCTGCACACTAAGTAACAGATGCTACCGTAGATTGTCATACCAGGGTAAAATGCTTTTACATAGCAATGAAGAATTTCAGTTTTTCAAAGAAATAAAAGATATTTTATTATCATTGTCATGCAGTCTTTTCTGAGACAAAGGCGTACCCAGTTCAGAGAGAACCGCCAATGCAGGATAGAGAAATGAATCCTTGAGTTCCAAACCCGACCGAGTCAAGGAAATTATGGAGTATAGCAAATCCTTTGGGAAGCCCAGTTGACTATGACGACCTAAAGGAGAGGCTTTAGATTTTGTGCAAGATGATGTGATGCCATCACCGCATATGCAATCTGAGTCTATTTGAGCTGATGAGTTGGAAGAATAAACCTGCAATAAAACATTTACATTAATTATGACTAACCAATTCAAATCTTCAAGTTGAAATGAAATTTCAATGGGAAAAACGTGTAGTAGAAAATGTTTGCCAGGAAAACGTTAAGAATAATTCAGCAGAAAAGTTTCACTCACAAATAGGACAGTTCTACAGCTTTCAAACATGCCTGGACAAGTCTTCTGAGTAATCTTAGAGCCTGCAATCTCTCCACTGAGTTGCCACCAGCTGAAGAATCCAAAGACCTGTCAAATGGAGGGAGCACATGCCATAACACCCTAGTATTATGTACATTGGATGAAATTGTTATGTTTTGAAGAAAAATGAATGAAAACAATATATCAAGATACATACTTATAAGTTATAATAGTTTTTTTACAAGTATTATTTGCTATTTTTGGGAAAGCATGATTTCTCATTGGTTACCTAGTAATGCATGTTGTAAATGAGAACTTTCATTAGCTTATTGTCTTGCTGTTCTTACCTAACAACTAGTGGCACAACATTGGCCCTCAAAAAAGCAACAGCATCCAAATTAGAGTTGAGCAAGTAGCGCATGAGACGCAGGCCTGATGCTCGCACTTCTTGGCCATCTGAGACCAGACAACAGCGCAACCTGTGTTTGGAAGCAGTCATTAGTTAGGCAATTAAAAGAGAATGTACAGTATGCATTAATAAGAAAATTAATAGATTCAAATAATAAACAAAGATCAACAACAACAAGGAAAAATGAATCATTTTGTTCCCATTATTAAGACAAGATAATGTGCTACATTTTATTACAAATGAAAGGCTAAAATCTTACATGCAGAAATATTCTTGCACTGAGTAAGGGCTTTCTCTGAAGTCCAAGCCATTATCTCCATCCTTCTTGTCTGCCTGTTGCCAAGATGTGCTTGACCTACCATGACTAGAAATATTGTCTGATGAAGATTCTTTTTTGAGAACTTCATCACCATAAGAAGAGTTTTCAACAGTAGAATATGTTGAGAAAATATCTTTTTTGTGGGCATCAGAATTACTACTTCCAGTCTCCTGTTCTTCATCTATCAAGAGATTTTTTAATGCACGTTCGGGCTTGAAGGACCCTTTGTTGAGCTCATTTTTTTGTTGAACATACAAGTTCTCTGACCAATCCCCATGATCAGAATGGCTGCTCTTCCTCCATCTCTTTTGGTTTTGTAATTCATCAGCTTCAGTATTGCTTACTCTAGAAAGATAAATGTCTTCTTTGCCCAAAGTGTTAGTTTCAGAAGACCTGTAATGATTATTTCCATTTGATCCCTGCAACTTGCTTTTGTTAGCAGCAAGTTGCTGCAATGCCCTGACTGCAGCATTGAGGTATGCAAGTTTAAGGCCATTATTATAGCCCGATGAGGAACAAACATAAGGCAGCACCTGCAGAAGCACCCCACTACTGCCGCCTGAGATGTCAAGTGACAGAGCTTTGCTTCGACGGTTTCCTGAAAAATAAGAACTTGTCAAGAATTGAACCATATAAAATCTGTAGCAATTAAAAGACTGAGAGTCAGTACAATTTGAAGAGGTATATAGACAGTTGATTGGGTGACTAAAGAAAATATCACAAGCATGATATCTATATGTTGTAAAATTCAATGAATATGGTACATTACATTTCACTTGGTCAATTTTTTTAGTGAAACCTCAAAGTGACATTGATAGCAGCATCTATTGTATACAAAGGAATAGATTTATCATATAATAAACCACTGAAGAAGTTAATGATTTTCACACATGAAACCATAGATGTTTAATTCAAGTAAATTAAGAGAATTTTTTTAAAAATATGCTTAATCTCCGAGTTGCTTCAAAATTAAATTAACTGTTACTAAGGTTTCTCAGTTAGGGTTGGGATATCAGTCTCTTTGTAGCTTCATAAACCTAAATTGGTTGGGCATGCAGGGTAGAGTTTTAAAGCTAAACATGCAAAACAGTACAAATGAATGTGCCATGAATTCAGGAGAGGTAATATAGTCACATTGCATCAATAAATGTTCCTTAGATCTTCCTTCTATCAATAGATCTTCCTTCTGCAATTTCATTTGTAAAGTCCTGTGCAAGGTTTACCCCCAATCCCTAATTTTACTCTAGAAACAGCTACAAGAACATTTGACTTTCCTTCAGAGGCAACTGAACACATGATAATGTATTGTTTATGTTTTGTTGAAGAATAAATGCAGTCTGATGTGACTGCAACTATGCCATCTCCAATAAAACATTTTGGGTTGACTCATAATGCAGGATATTTTCCTAGGAGTGAGGCATCACATACTACGGAAGTTAAAAATTTTGTGAAATGCAATGTTTGTGAACTGCAATTTCTTCAATCAAATAAAAATACATTACCTACATCATACCTGCAAGATTTCATACAAACCAAAATTATATGATATTAGAGCCATAATATTTCAGAAAAAAGTAGGACCTTTCCCTACTAGCCTGCATGTGGGCAACTGCCTGTCTGTGAATCCATCAGTAGAAATACCAATTCAGAATATTGGGCACAATTTTCTTATAATCAGACTGGAATTCTAGAATAGTGAATAAATTTACTTTCATTCTTGGGCAGATACATATCCCTTTCCTGCTGTGATTGGTTGAAATGTCATCCTCTCTAGACAGTGATTGGCTGATAGGATTGTGATTTCATCCTCTCCAGTGGACTGAGTGGAGACTGTGATTGGTTGTGGGATCATGATGTCTTCTTATCCAGACTCAGACTGATTGGTTAGCTATGCAATGGACTTTCCAATACCGTAAAATGGGGTAACTTAGACCGGCGGGGTAACTTAGACCACTTTTAGTTTTATCAACAAAAACCCCCACAACTCAAAAACTATTTGACATAGAAAAATTTTGTCAATGGGCATTAAAGGCCTAATACTGAGGCTACATAACACAATATAAAGATTTAAAAAGTTTGCATATCTAATAGGTTAAAAAATTAAAAATGTGACCCATGAAAAAAAGCTATTATTTAAAGCCTGTCGGAGTACCCCCTCCGATTTTTTTATTTTTTGATTAAATAACTCCAGGTTTTGATGCATTGTAGTAGAACTCTTCTAGTTACATATGCAAATGACAAATTTTAGGAAAGTGTCATAGTTTGCAAATGGGGGGCGCCGCCCCCAAATGGGGTAACTTAGACCACCTAATGTCAGCCCTGATGGGGTAATACCTGTCTCTTATACACATCTAGATGTGTATAAGAGACAGATGGAGGCTTGGAAGCTTCATAATCTTTAATCTTTCCTCATATGACTTGCCTTTCAAGCCCGGAACTATCCTTGTTGCGCGTCTTTGAACATTCTCTACTAAATTTTTGTCCTTTTCAAATTTCGGTGACCACACGACGTTTCCAAACTCCAGGTTCAGCGCACGACAGCAACAAACAACAGTGAACAGTGCAGCATTATTCATGCATTGAACATCCAAATTTTCAAATCTAATCCATTTGTTCTATCTAATACATATACCTACTCACAATTTACTAATCTTGCAATATTCGTATCGAATTCGTATCGAGCAAATCTCTCATGAATTTGTGTCACAGTGTCTATCTCCACGGAAACTTTTGAGAAAATTTCAGGTTCAATATGTTAAAGGATTGGCATAGTTCATTGGCTCAAATGTGATACAATTGCTCAGTACCACTAAACCGCGAGTAATCCTGACACCACTCTATTAGTGAATGAGTTAATTTACATTTGAAATAGTGTAATGCTATGAAGTTCATTTAACATTCATCAATATAATTGGAACTGTGTTTAGCTCCTTTTTTAATTCTTATCTGAACTAAATAAGATATAGTTTTCATACTGTCATAATTCTATGAATGGTTGTATGATACTGTGACGTCGTTTTGTCTCTCGTCAGATTAAATGCACTAAGTTTTCCTATTCTCATCTATTCTTTCTTAAAATCTTCACTCATCCCGACGTTCACTCAACAAGTGCGTGGAAAATATTGCAAAGATTAACGAAATCATCATTCAATTCAATTCAAATCATTCATCATCATCAGCGTCAGTGCTGCGTCACCGCCGCACCTGTATCGTAATCGCAGTTCAAGCTCAACCGAAGCCGTTGGCACTAATCGTAATCAAAGCCCGACCCAGTGTTGGCACTGTAATACTTGATAATCAATTTTAAAACCCAACCCAGCATTGGCAAACGCTAGCATAAGCGAGAAAACGCCAGTAGTCTCTTTTTCTTGCCTGCCAAAACCACCTCGTCTCACGTCACCAAGTCACTTAAGACATCATTGTTACCAACAACAGCGAGTAAAAACTACAAAACCAAAAGTTGTTCTTCCTGCCAACCCAACACACATCCGGGCCAGTGAGACGAGTTAAGAACCTGGCGGTGGAGAAACTGAGAGTGGCCACTACAGATAGCGAAAATGGAGCTATTAAGAAATGCAAATCAGCTCAGTCGCAGTGAATTGGAAAATTTTCTTGAAGGATTCACGATGAACTAGATACCTTGCTGGACCTAGAAGACGAAGAGTTAAGATAGGAACCAGAACAACTGAAAGGGCGTGCTTCTAGGCTCAAGGAGAAAATGAAGGAATACCTACGCTATTGCCGGAAACTTAATAAAATGCTAATAGCGAAAGGCTGTCACACAGAATTGCAATTCGCTAGGGACAAACTGCGGAGTCTGCACGACGATTGCGTGCAAAGCCTATTGTAACTACGAGCGTCTCCAACAGCTCAACCACGATGAGGTGTCGTCCTTGCACTTCAACATCTCTTCTGTTCGATCGGACGACTCTCTTACTTTAAGGCTCGAACAGCCGATATGCCCATCAATCCGTACCGATCGACTGGTCAGCCCAGTAATAATCGAGTCAGGAGTCAACGCTCCACGGGACTCCGGAGTCCTCCCCGCGCCGTCCCAATCTTTTAGTCATCTTGCCAAAAACAGTTCATATCCAATCCACTGGAGCTCCTGCTGATAAGCTCTACAATCACCCCACTTCTGCACCCTCGTATCGTTCAAATGACCTCACGCTGCACATCGTTACGTCACCCATCCATCCGAAATTCCCCAATGGTGATGCAGTCCCATTATCATCAGCTCCTGATTATTCGACTATGGATCCCCAGCAACTGAACAAGCTTCGTACCTCAGCCGTACCCTCAAAACCTCATCAACGTTACCTAAACCCCCAGAACACTCTCCAGCACTTCACCTCTGAGACAACCGTCACAAGCATCTCACTCCAACATCAAACGAACCAATCGCCGACTGAATGCCCTCCGAACACTAAACTGTTATACGGACCAACCCGACCTCGCCCCTGAACCCCAGTGCCCAAGACGTTCTTATCATGTTCGCGAACCGCATGTTGCAAGAAGACTACATAAAGAAAACTATTGACAGCTTCGATGGAAATCCTACCCAATTCTGACCATGAGCGGCCACAGTGCGCGAATACTCGGAAGCTCTGCGACTTTCCCCAGGCGAGACACTTCAATTATGGGAGACTAACTCTACGGGGCGTCCGCGTGCAATCATCAAGGCGAGGCTCAACTCCGGGAAGGAAATTACTTCAGAAGATCTACACTCGGTTGGGGATAAACTGCAGCGCCTCTACGGAACAACAGGAAGAATAGCCGATGAATTAGTATCAAGAATCGAGAGATTTCCCGTAATTATAGGATCAAACCAAGCCGAACAATTGCAAGAACTACTCGACCACTGCGAGGTCATCCTACAACACATGGAAAACTGCCCTGAACTCTGCGTTATGAACGTTGCCACAGGCACGCGACCTATATGATATAAAGTTCCAGAACACATCCAGCTGAAATGAAGAAGCGTATGCCAGAAGTACCAAAAAACACACGGTGGCAAGCAGCCCCCGTTCGAAGTCCTTGTAGACTGCTTGAAACGTCAAGTACTAGAAATGTCAGATGACAACTACGCGGTAAAGTAAAGGTGATGGAACCCGCACACGAAAGCGACAAGAAGTATGCAACGAGAGTTTTACAAACGCCCGTATCGTCCAACACCAGCCCTCATAAGACATGTCCGGTCCACCAGTCCTCGAGTCACTCGCTACTCGACTGCAGGTCATTCAAACGACTTCAGTATTACGATAAGCAAAAGCTAGTGAACGATTATCAACTCTGTTTGTACAAAAATCTGGTGGAATTCATTAAATTTATTAGTGGTAAATAATCCGCTTTTCTGGCCGGTGTCAAGCCGAACCCGAAGAAGAATAATAGCAGCAAGAACAATCAGATTTCCTATACCAGCCTAACCGCACGGTGCTCCCGCTTCACCTGTGTTTGCCTAGCAGTTTTTTGGAAGGCATACCTGCAGCATCTTACCTCGGCCGCGGTCCTGCTCTCCTCTTGATCTGGCGTTGTGGTGGCTCGACGAGAGCGTGGTTCCCCTACCTGGAGCTCAGATGTGTGATGTTCATGGCCAGCCATGGATGACCGAGCCAGCCGTTGATCCATCCTTTGAACTTAAATAAAGCCTGTTCAGTTTCTAGTAGCAAATCCTTTCTTATTTTCCTGATTCGTTGAAGTTGGTTATGGTTAATAACTGAAGTCGGAAATTCAATCATCTTCTATTAAAATTTAAATTCAATATTCATTATTTTTGTATACTGTTGTTACTGTCTTGGCCACCACACTGCAACTGGCTGCACCGCACAACCAAGATGTAGCATCTGCAAACAAAACCACATAACCCTCGTGCACCGAGAGAGAGTACCTCACGCATACCCAGACTACGGATAAGCCAGTACAGTGCCACTCAGTGCCATCGTCGGCTGCCCGTGGCCCGCCCAGTGTGACATCGTCCTTCAAATACCCAGCACTGACCACCCCTCCATTCGGTGTGGCCCGGTGGTAGTGTGACATCGTTTTGCCACTCGTCAAATTAAACGCATTAAGTTTTCCTATCCTCATCTATTCTTTCTTAAAATCTTCACTCATCCCGGCGTTCACTCTACAAGTGCGTGGAAAATATCGCAAAGATTAACGAAATCATCATTCAATGAACGCAGAGAGCCCTCAAGCGGTCCCCTCGTTCTCAGCCAGCGTGGCAGCGTCAGTGCTGCGGCACCGCCGCACCAGTATCGTAATCGCAGTTCAAGCTCAACGGAAGCCGTTTACACTAATTGTAATCAAAGCCCGACCCAGTGTTGGCACTGTAATACTTAGTAATCAATGTCAAAGCCCAACCCAGCGTTGGCAAACGCTAGCATAAGCGAGAAGTCTCGTAGTCTCGTCTTCTTGCCTGCCAGTAGTCTCGTCTTTTTGCCTGCCAAAACCACCTCTTTTTACGTCACCAAGTCACTTAATTAAGTCACCATTGTTACCAACAACGGCGAATAAAAACTACACAACCAAAAGTTGTTCTTCTTGCCAACCCAACCCACATCCGTGCCAGATACAGACAAAAGTGCATGTGCGATGGAACGTGCCGCACAGAGGGCAATTGATTGCTATGGAAATAGCCTGCTCAGGGCAAAATTCATTGATCTGCCTGAACATGACAATTATCATTTCAAAACTGATCATATGTAATTAAATAATAATTCGGTAATCTCGTCGTTTACAGAATCTTTCAAACATCTCTCTAGTAGGAATGATGTCCGTAGATTAAGGCCTGTAAATAATGTAGGGAGTAACCGCATCATACGGAATGATGTCCGTAGATTAAGGCCTGTAAATAATGTAGGGAGTAACCGCATACATCAAAGTGAAAGTGCACAAAAAGTTTTAAAATGTTTTTACACGAACTCGGATTCCGTTTTGAACAAAAAAAGTGAACTGTTAACTGTGATCGCAAACGAGAGTATAGACATTATTTGTATTACAGAAACACTTCCTAAAAATCACGGGGGGA